TATATAAAAAGGGGAATATTTTAATAGATTTTGCTTTTTAAAAATAGCCAAATCTAATTAAATTGAGTAAAAAAACACAATTTAAAAAAAAAATAGGGATTATACCCATAAAACGTATAATTGAAGCACTATTATAAAATTTCTGAAATATTTTCTAATATCATCTTAATTAATACTAGTTATTAATATTTTTTATTAATTTTCTCATTTTCTATCCTTCTTGAAAATAGTGCGATATTTTGCGTGCAATTATGTTTGAATAAAAATAATACCATTATCTTCCATATATTTTTATTTTTTTACAAATTTTCCTCGCTCAAACTTGCGAGTTTCGAGTGGACCCAGCGGAGTTGACCCTCCACTCTATTTAAAATTCATAAAGTGCAAGTGACAGAGAATGAAACGAATGAATTCTGGCACGTCCCTAGATGCTCTTTTCCTGCTCTTGTGAAAGTGTCCACTCTGCAGCAGCACCACTCTCGCCTCCAATTTTTTTTCCCGCAAACCCGTCACGTCAAGCCTATCATGCGTGTGTTCCTCGGAATTATTCCGACGTGGAATTAGGCGAGCCTCGCTCACTCCCTGGCCCACCCGCAGACGATTATTCAATAAAGTTTGCCCTGACCAAAGAGAGATGCGTGCCTAAAATATGACGAATCAAAAAGGGCGAGGCTGCTGATAAAAAATTCATGTCTCTCCTCGCATGCATGGTAGATCTCAATGATGTAAAATGCGTAAATATAAAAAGGGTCCGACAGAGCGACACGAAGTTTCCATTCAACCGCTCGTCTGCGGAATAATTTCAGCCGTCCCTTTTGAGAAGACCCTTTGATATTAAACACGCGGCGAATTTGGGAGGATTACCGTTTTATGTTTCCCATTCCAAGAAAAATAGCTGCTCCCTGTGTGCCTGCAATATTGGAGCAAAGGGACGTAGGTAAGCCGTTGCCGCTGGAATTTTCATTTGGTGGAGTGGCACTTCTAAAACTTTGAGCAAAGAGGGTGGGTGGGTTGTACCTTAATAATCATGCACGCCACTCTTATGTTATTTCACTTTAACACGCATAACAGTTTATGAAAAAATTCAACAAAGATTTTTATAAAATATATTGAGTTTTCAGTATTTTCATATCCTTTTCATTCGCCACATGTATTTTATTGTAAAGTTTATTAAGGTTTTAAGTTGACACACTGGCACACCTAAAAGCTCTTCAGCCAAGATTTCTATGTTTTCCTCATTGCATCAAACTCTTGAGATACTTTTTGTAACCTATTATATATTATTTCCTCGCTGATTTAAATACTGTTCTCTATTTAGTCTCTTGGATTTCTTGAAGAATTAGCTGAGAGCTAAAGAAATTATTTCGTCTAAAGAAGGAAGCTTTTAGTGTAATCACCAAGCAATGAAACTAAGATCTGAAAGAGCATCTTGCAAAACACATCCACTTGCATTATTCGCAAGCGAACGCAAAAACAGAGAGTGCAGCATGCAGAAAATTCCGCTCCATTTGCCAGGAGACATTTGCACCTGCCTCTCCTCAATATATGTGAAACACACAATAGAGTCACTTCTTTCTCTCTCGGTTTTATGCGTCCCTTCGAGGATTATTTTACCGCCAAGAGGGTGGCCTATTTTTCTTAGCCGCTTTTACGACTCGCTGCCGCTACTGCTTTCTGCGTACTACATTTTATGCCACCGCCGCCGACTTTATCTTTTGCAGGATTGATGCTTCAAAAATTCAACCTGCCACACATGCATACCTAGTCTGTTCCGCCTCTCTCGTACGTCGTCTCTGCTCCAGAGCAGCTGTAAAAAATCCGCCGGAGAGAGATGCGCATTATTAAAGCGGATGAGCAGGCCGATTTTTTTTCCAGCCTCGCCGACCCTTACACACTGCTCACATACATTCACGTCGCTGACGTGTGCCTTCATTTTCAGAGTAAAAAAGGTGACACGAGGTGTTGAATTTATTACGCCCTAATGAAAAGAATAAGACTAGCAAGTAGGGCGGAGCAGCGACATTTCCTAAGTGCTTTTGCATTCCCAAGGGCGGACATTTTTTTAATGAGGAGACGTTGTCTGCGTTGCTTGGAGTAGAAAAGCTCGCAAATTGTGCTTCGTTAGAATAAAAATTGCATCACTTGAAAAGTATGGCGATCGTTGAACACGCCAGGGGATAAGTGCCATTAAGACTGGAGTTTTCGTGTGGAAAATTTAAATTTATTTTTATTGATGGAGATGTTGAGTCATTAAAAATAGTTACAGTTCAACTTTCTTGTAAAATTTTATTGCTGAAAATTTCTTAATAAGCTAAAAAAGAAAATGGTTATATGCAAATTTTTTAGAAAAAAAAATAATATCATTTTAATTTATAATCTCGTCATTATTTATTGATTTTATAGTGCAACTGACTGATAGTAATAAGCACTAACAACCATTATTTCATGTAAATAATCACTATTGTAATTTTTCACTCGTTGTATCGCAAATTACCACACATACTCACGGAATTGGAATATAATTCAGATTGATCATTGTCATTTGAAGAACTTTACTGGTATTCGCTTGCGGTGTTGCTCTCCTCTGCACGCTTGTGTGATTAATAGAGCGGTGCGGCGCAACAACTTTTACGGCGTCATTTGTGCATAGAGGGTGTTGCACTTTTATTACCGCTGCAGCAAATTGAAATTTATCTACCGAGTTTGCCAACTGCAGTTCCAGCAGCTGCAGGTCAGATATTATATTGCGACGTGTCGACGACGTTGGCTTCAAAGTCGTAGCTGTAAATCTGCATTTTGTTCTACCAGAACAATCCTCCGATGAAAATGGCCACAAATGTAGAGCACCGACGCAGCACCGGAGGAAAACTCTTCGCATTATAAAATGAACTTGGTTAAACAAAACTCTTTTGGGGGGAATTAATTCATTCCCCTTGAATGGAATAAGCAAGAAGAAGATAATGCAAGTTTGAAATGGCACATTTAAAACACAGAACTATATAAAAAAATAATTCTGAACACTGAGTCAAAATTCTAGAGTTCTCGCTTTTTATAACTTCAAAAATTAGATTTTCATTTCGCTCTATTTTGAATTCTAAAAACATGATATGCAGACTAAATTTGTTCTTGCGTACTTCAGAGCTTAATTTAAATGTACAAGAGCGTTTCCAAGGGAGCAGATGATATCTCTGTCTGTATAATATGAAATAGGGCACCTTAGGTAAAAATCGTCGGTGCTATATGCATGCATGAGTGCACCCAGCCCGCACCACGGTCGTGGCAATCACAAGAAGTTTTATTTGCCGCACGCTGAAAGTGGCGAAAGCCGAAAGGAGGCCCTCGGGACTCGTTGGCCTCGCACCGAAATGGAGACGGAAAGAGGCAAAAAGCAGGTGGACGTGCGAACTCTCTTGCCACCAAAATGACGCAAGGAGCTTTGGAAAATCTATTTTTGGCCTTTAGGAAGTCGCAGCAACGCATTTTTCCACGTTGCTGCACCCCTGCTGGAAGAAAGTTGTCCTTGTATATTTCTTTATTTTTCCAGATAACAGATAACTAATAAAAAAAAATTGAAATCTCCTTATTTTTGTTTACCTCTTAGTATATTTACATTACTAATATTTGCAAAGAGAAGTGGCAACAGCTTTTAAATTAATAAGTGGAATCAGTGGAATGAGTAAACCTTGGACTGCCATACCCTTTCTGTCTGCCGCTGAAAGCACACAGCCTGATGCTCATTGTAACATTAATCATATCACGTATTAGGCTGGAAAATGGATCTGAGAGGTTTCCTGTGTAAGCCGGCGGCATTATATAAAGGCCTTAGCTGTGCTGCGCGAAAACTAGACTGGATCGCACACATATGTGTGCGACTCCCTCGCACAGACAGAGACTTTTAAGGAATTTTACGAGCAGAAACAATGAATATATTTTTAAATCCATTTTATCCGCGTCCATAGGCTACATGACTTATGCAACCTGCTTGACGCGGCAGTGAATCTGGTTGCTTATCAATATTTTTGCAGGATATAGACGTCAATTTCACAATATTCCAATAATGTACAGGAAAATTCTACGAAATGAAAGACGAACGTAGCTTTTCATAGTGATTAGCTTTTTCCCGCTTGCTGCATTTTATCAAAAACCGCAGGTTATATTGGTTGCTGTTTTAATTTAAAAGAGGACGTCATTTGTGGAACACTTAATTGCTTTTCCACACGCGTACGCCAACTTTCCAAACAATAGGCCACCGCACCGCCGCGTTTATTATTTCCGATAAAATGCAAAAGCTGGAGAGGTAAGCAGAAATTTTTAATTAAAATTTGCCTCCCCGGTGTGCAGGTAGGGATATTATCGACTTGCATACTTTGCTCAGATTGAGTGGAAGTTTTGGCGACAAAGCCTGTTGATTTATGACATCAGCTCGCAAGACTTAATTGAAGCCGCACAGAGCCGCATTAAAAGTGAAAGTTTCATTTGCATAGTCAAAGTGTGCTCCAAGTTCGCCGCTGTCCGAGAAGTTTCTGGAAGACTTTGAATATCTCATATCAATTCTCTTTCCTACGCCAGCGAAACTAATAAAGTGTCTGTGAAACTTTATTATTAAAAAGTGAAGAGAGCAAAAATTGCATACCTAGCAGGGCGAATCAAGAAGCCATTTAATACAGTGTAATATTAAGCTAAATTTTATGTATTTTCATGTTTATATTGAGAATTAACATTTTTTATACGGATCACTCCTTTAAATTTCTTTTAATCAAAAGACAAGGTTTTCAAGCTTGATTGGCACAGTTTGCATTAGTCACGTGTAAATTTAGCAAAAATATTCCACCTTTGATTATTATGATGTCTTATTATGTAAAGATAATATTCAAATTTATATTTATCTTGCAATTAGAGAAGAACTTAAATGTGCCGATTGAGGCGTAAAAATGTCACGAAATAAATGAAAGTGCATCATAATAAGACTTTGAGATAAGTTTTTCAGCAGCCTGGTTTGGTGAACTTAATAGCATTTAATTCACACAGTACTCAGTTAACTCATCTTTGAAAATGTTATATTTTAAAGTAGTAGCAATGCTTGTCATCTCTTCTCCTCCATATAAGGAAACCACGTGCTGCAATTGCTGCGTGCAAAAAGTTGTGCCTACAAACAAACCAGAAAAATTAGCCATGGGTCGTGGGGCAAAGATCTTTGATGAACCTGAAGCGCAAATATATGTAGGGAACGGATCAACTACGCCAACAAGGGCAGGGAAGGTTAAAGTTTTATCAGGTAACAACGGCACCGACACCATCACCACCACCACGAGTGTACCATCGAATATTCAACAAACGGTGATTTACGCACTTTTTATAAGTAATATAAAAATAATTTTATTTTCCCTATTTCATTAGAGTACAAAAGCAACTTCAAAATTTACGACTAAAGTACCAAACACCACAACAAAGCCTCCTTTGACTGTCCAGACTACAACTAAACTTACCACTACCACGGCTAAAGCAAAACTCTATACAACTACAAAGACTCCAACTACTACAACAAAGAGTATTTAATTTTGTTGTGTTACACTTCAGTCCTAAAGATTTAAGGTTTCCATGTACTTTATATGAATCATAATTTGGAGAGAAAAAATATATCTTATTTTTGCAAATCTGAGAATTATTTATATTAATTATCAAACATATTTCAGAGATTAAGCTGAGAAGGCGGCATTCATTATGGTCATCACAAAGACTTTTATAGTCTTTTTACCACTCCTGGTGATTCACAATTTTTGTATTTAAAAAGAGCGCACCATAAAAAAAATGATAATCGGCGAAAATATTTGAAAGGTGTATACTTTTGGCAGGGTCAACCGATCTTAACCATATTCTAGGACCTTAAAGATCATGCCAGGAGGTTTTCAAAAATATATAGTTTTACCCCGTTATCTCGAAATTTATGGGTTTTACGGGACATTCAAATTTGGATTTTGGAAATTTTCAATCAACTGTATCTTGGCTTCCCGTGGTTGTAGAACAAAATTCTGGATATGGTTGAATTCGTCTTGTTGCCCTCTACAACTTTGCTGCTGATTGCAAAATCGTAGGTCAAAGTGCAAGGTCACTTCCGGTGACCTCGTGACCTTTGACCTCAAAATTGAAGTTTATCCCCCAATTTTATTTTTATTCTGAAATAGCCATTTTGTAGAGCGTAAAATTTTACGCTATATAGGAAAATAAACCAGATGGCGTTTTTTGATATTAAATTAATAAAAAAATAAAAAGATTAAAAAACGTGGTTTTCCGAGCAAATTTCCTGGTAAAATGTCTTTGAGCCTCTGTAACTTTGTCCCTGAGCAAGATGGCCCAAAGTACCTAATGACAAAAAGTAATTGTCTTGACACGGTCTATCCAGAAATGTATTACACATTGTGACCAGGTCACAAAAGGTCATTGACCCCGGTGACCTTTGACCTTACCATATTTTTTCCATCTTGTGCGACACATGGTTCGAAAGAAGACATTGAGGCGGTCATTTTCGTACCCGGAATTTTGCTGTAGCTCCAACAAAACTTGAGTTATTGACGTTTTTAGTTATTTCATCTTACAATTTTTACAATTTTAATAACTAAAAACGTCAATAACTCAAGTTTTGTTGGAGCTACAGCAAAATTCCGGGTACGAAAATGACCGCCTCAATGTCTTCTTTCGAACCATGTGTCGCACAAGATGGAAAAAATATGGTAAGGTCAAAGGTCACCGGGGTCAATGACCTTTTGTGACCTGGTCACAATGTGTAATACATTTCTGGATAGACCGTGTCAAGACAATTACTTTTTGTCATTAGGTACTTTGGGCCATCTTGCTCAGGGACAAAGTTACAGAGGCTCAAAGACATTTTACCAGGAAATTTGCTCGGAAAACCACGTTTTTTAATCTTTTTATTTTTTTATTAATTTAATATCAAAAAACGCCATCTGGTTTATTTTCCTATATAGCGTAAAATTTTACGCTCTACAAAATGGCTATTTCAGAATAAAAATAAAATTGGGGGATAAACTTCAATTTTGAGGTCAAAGGTCACGAGGTCACCGGAAGTGACCTTGCACTTTGACCTACGATTTTGCAATCAGCAGCAAAGTTGTAGAGGGCAACAAGACGAATTCAACCATATCCAGAATTTTGTTCTACAACCACGGGAAGCCAAGATACAGTTGATTGAAAATTTCCAAAATCCAAATTTGAATGTCCCGTAAAACCCATAAATTTCGAGATAACGGGGTAAAACTATATATTTTTGAAAACCTCCTGGCATGATCTTTAAGGTCCTAGAATATGGTTAAGATCGGTTGACCCTGCCAAAAGTATACACCTTTCAAATATTTTCGCCGAATATTATTCATGTTATTTCTGGCTTTCATTTTGGAAGAACTTACTCCTAGAAAATTCTCAGAGAGTGAGTTTAGAGTAAAATTGTAAATTAATATAATTAAATATTCGTCGCGTACGGCGTGCAGTAGCATTTAAAAAAACCTCTGGAGACAGCTTCACCCAAAAAAGATTGACTCACCATGCTTACTTGAATTGATATGCACATTGCACATTGAAAATCATGCTCTAAGCATAATAATTGCAAAATGAGGAGAACCACGTTAAATAAATCAATCAATTGTAGAGTAAAATGTACGCATTGCGTTTATATTACAATATAAATAATGAAAAACTCTGAATGTATGTGTTTATTAATGTAAATATATAAGATCATTTTTATTTAAAAATATTATGTAGCGGTGCTCTACGATAAGATGATTTTTACACGTTTGGCAATTTATTTATTGCATCTTAAAACTATATAAGAAACATAAATTTAATGAGTTTTCAATAGGTAAACGTGTTTGTTAATGACTGTGAATTTTTTTTATGTGTATGTAATCATTATTCTAATGTATTTCCAGCATTGTACATAAATTTCCGACTCCTGTATTTTCGGCATTTTTTTTGGATGTTTGTACTTTTTTATGTCGATGCATGATTCCGCTTTTTTTTTGTACAGTGTACTTTTTTTGCGTTTTATGTACCATGAATGGAGAATAAATAAATAATTTTTATTTCTAAATATTTTGTTTCACAACAGTACTTTCTTGATGATAAGGAGTACTCGTCATAATTTTTTTTATAAACATATACATAATCACAATATTTTCATGTCTGTTGTAATATGTGTGAATGGATTTTGTGCTTAAAGATTTGGAATTTTTTATTATAACAACTTGATTTATTTACAGCCACAAAAATAAAAGCCCTGACAATGAGACAAGTATATGAGAATATTTTCTGACTACCCAGATTATTGTTAATTAAAAAATTATCAGTTTCTTAAAATTTGTTTCAATGTGATCTTAAAAATTTATTGCAAAATAAAATAATTGACACAAACTTCAAATATTTGGACAACAATGAAACCAACCACAAAGTAAATTGCTTAATCTCATTTTTTGGCTAAGAAGTGTCGTCAATAATTTTGCTGTTTAGGATAAAAAGATAATGGTGATGCGGGTTTTTGCTTTGTTTGAGAATTTAATCAACTGAATTTTTGTCACTTTACAATAATGCTAATATTATTTTTGAGGAATGATTAAATGAAACAAACGGCTCTTCTAGATAAGCTTAGCATAGTGACGTGCTTTGTTGGGACGTGCTTTTGAGCGCAATGGATGGTCGCATTAAATTTGTAATTCCTTGGTGAAATTTTTGCAAGTAGTAGCGCAAATAATAGCCTACAGTGCGATGCGTTGCAAGCATAATGCACCAGATGAGATTTACCTACTTACTTGCATGTTTGTTGATGGCCCCAGCCACCAGTTCTGCAGTCCAGTCAGCGTTGTTGAACAGGAACGTTCGCCAGCCACCTTCACTACCACCAGCATCTAACAGCCCTCAAGATATGAGGAAAGAAGCGGACGAAGTTCTTATAATATTATGGCGCGAGGGAAAAGTGCTAGAGATGTTTAAAGATTTTCGAGTGAAGGTCTGGAAATCAGACATAGGCAAAAATCCCGAGTTGCTACTGAATGCGATGCATGCCATAGATGACCTCAAAGCGTACCCTGAGTCCGCCGACGACTTCCTGGCGGTAAGTATTTTTTACTTAATACAAAAAGTCTGAATGAGGTCAAAATAGGGTATACATTTTTACATAATCCAACTTATTTATTTGTAAAAATATCGTGGTATTCATCCAAAATATTGAGAGAATCTAGCATAATATTAACTTAATTTGCATTGCTCATATCTTTTTATATATCACATATATCATAATCTCTTTATAGAATGCTGTGATGACTACTAATTTTTTTTCAGACTGCAAATGCTATCCTTGCGAGTGGAGGAGGAACAGAAACACAGAACACAGGTTTAGATATCGACTTTGGGAATCCGGAGAATGATTATGATTCTGATCTTGATGAGCTTAATTTAGTGACACCACCCACACCAGGAACAGATAAACCAGTAGCAAATCCTGATAGAAAAAGGCGCCGTCATGTTATAATTGTCAAGATTTCACCCGAGCTACTCAAGAAAATTCATTGTTTCAGCAAAAAATCTAAAAGAAAAAAAAATCAAAAAGTAAAATAAGAAGAAAATGACAAGAATTTATTTATTTGTACCAAAATGAATGGCTCTTCTTGAATTATTTGGTTGATTATTAAGTGTATTTTATTGTTCATATTTAACCTCAAACTTCTATCAAAGTAAATATTGTTCCTTGAAATTATTTTCAGCCACATTACATTTTATCATGCTCTCATGAAATATGAAAACCTTTTTGCCCGTTACTTGCCAAATAAGTTTACAGGAGGCGCCAAAAGAGCTTGTGAAAATCTCGAGAGGATTTTCCTGCCGGCATTTTCTTTGCTGTGTTGAGGGGACTCGGTGGTGTAAGAGAAAAAGTCACCTCTGGGTGTAAGGTCAGTGTTTAGGTAATTTTTCCGGCAGTTGAGTGGCTGCTAGTCGGAGGGTGAGCGAAGGGTCTCCTGTGACCTGTGGTGTGCACCGCCAAAGGAGCTAGCGAGCCGGCCAGGGAAAAAACAAGGCTGCGCAAAAACAATCCCGCAATTTATGGCCCAGCTCGACTGCTGGGCAAAAATAAAATTCTAGTGGCCCCTGAGAGTTCTGCATTAGCCGCACACGCGACAATATACCACACTGCTCGTCCCGTGGTCATTTTTTGCTCACTATCGACTGGCGGAACATAAAACATATTTATCGGGTTCATGCGATTGCCAGGGGAATTGGAAATAAGGTCGCGCGCGAGATTGAAAGCAAAGTTATTGCTACAGAGCAAAAAAACTAAGTGAGCGATTGGGCCGAAATCTGCCATTGAATGTATTGGAACGTGATTTTCAAATCAAAATGGTCAGTTTTGCTTCACAGATAGTGCCTTTTATTTATATGCAAATCTATGTAACCATATGTACTTCAAATAAGCGCAGACATGAAGCTGAAAACATTAATTTTTATGTACACATAAAAATTAAAAATGAACAAAAGAAAAATGTAACATCTCTCAAGAATATACAGAGTCGTTTACAAATTGGTAGCTATAGTTTTGTATTTTTACTTTACTTTCCATGACATAACTTTTACTTTTTTATTCTGCACACGCAACAAATAAATTAGTAAATCACATGTGCATACTTCACTGGTTGAAAATTGGATATAGAAGAATTTCGCTGTAACTAGATTTGATCAACTGGGCAGCCCATTGTGGCAACAAGTTCAGTGCTCGGCTCAGACTTAAGCTTAACTATCGTTTTTATACCCCGTATGTACACAAAGAAACAACCAAATTTGATTAACTTGAGCCGTAATTGATAAAAGCATGTATTTATTATTAACTCTTTAAATAATTATAATCGTAAGATATTAGCCGAGGACACTATTTACTTGTAGCCGGACTACCAGTTGACTTTACCATTGTCAGCTTTGTAGAACCAATTGAAAGAAGGAGATAAGGAAAATAATGCAAATGGCACAACAGGTTTATGCACGCATTACTTTAGTCAACTGAACCAAAAAAATTTAGGAGTGTTCGAGATCTTCGAAGTCCAAAACACAAGAGTATAATGATCGATACAGATTTTCTTTAATGGGTGCATTTTATTTTTGTCTGTTTTACACTTTCTCTAATGATATTTGGTGGGAAGGCCCAAAATTTTGCTTTGCACTGTTTGTTTCGATGAGACTAGTCATGAATCCGAATAAATAAATATCAAATCACGAAATTTTGAGCCTTGCAGTTTCTCATCAATATTTTTTAGCGTTGTTGATTTTCTGAGGGGGTAGACTGGCATCTGACTCTATTGATTGGTGCTAACACCAACTCTTGACAATATCAGACAGCTCCTCCCTAGTAAGATTAGAACTTATTCTTGCGAGTCCTACTCTAACACCCAATCAGAATTATAAGTTGTAAAAAGATACAAATTTGTGTTTGCAATCAACCTTGTTTGTCAGAACCAGAATTGAACTGTTAAGTGTAGCCAACAGGCGGCCTCTGAAAAACTAAACCCCAAAGAGTCCTTGACCGTCAGCCTTAAATTGAACAAGTTGAACTTGTGTCAGGATTCAGATAAGCCACCGACCCATTGTTGGACAATGGCTGACAAAATTGATCTCAACACTATTCAAAAAGTCAGAATAACAGACAACTTTGACTTTAGGACCTGCTTGCCCTTGTTAAATGGGTTTTCCTTTGGTTTTGCAGAAATATTACTAATCACTAAAAAAGAGCTACCACTTTTAACAGTGGAGTCAGCAAGGAAATATTTATGTTATCACTCCCCTTTGTCAATTTGGTCCAACCTTACCATCCCAAATGTTGCATTGACAAATTTAATTATAGATGTCTTTGGAACAGAGCAGCAAATTTAGTCCTAAAATGAAAGCAATCCCCGACTGTATCAATCAATCCGAAGTAAGGCTGTGTGGCAAGAAATTTAGATAATTCTTATTAAAGTATTAATTTTTTTTGTTCTCTACGTCCCTCTGACCGATAAGTCCCGAAGAGCAAAGAAATTGAGTGTTTTGGTTGTATTGGGTCGGGCACTCTGAGTACCAATAAAATAAACTGTGATCTAGCCACATCAATGTGGCTGTTACTAAAAATGGTCAACTACTTGATTGCTGCTTCTCTAAGGAGGCTGTGTTCAGTGGTCGGCCGAGGCCGTCTCTTCTATTCGAGCCTTTTTCACACCCTCTTCGAGTTGTTCAGCACCATCAGCTGTGGATGTGGTTACCATCTCCATATCTTCTTCGATGTGCCGTTTCATGCCCACAACCACCTGGTGTTCTACCGATTGAGTACTGGCCGGACTGACAAAAGTCCCGCTGAAAAAATACAAGAGATTTGTAAATTTGGTGTAATAAAAATTTAATAGTTTAAGGTACAACTTTTGATTGTAAGAACTATTAAATAGAATTTGAAACAGAATTGACAAAATTAAACTTTCTCTAGGTGATTTAATTTTTTTTCATAACTTTCTAAGTATTTACTAATATGCACTTCACTCTTCAGTTAAGTTACAGTTTACATAACTGTTTTTTTATGTTTAAATTATCAGAAATGAAATATAGTTTGTCATATTAAAAAAAAATCCTTTTACCTGTAATTAGTGTACGCTGCTTGCACAATAACAGGTGCTGGTGTGAATGCAGCTGGAGAGACAGAGCGGTCTTCACTTTTGACAGCAACTAATGTAGTAGTAGTGCCATTTCCACTATTTTGAACAACAAATTTTTCTGTGGGAGAAATAGAATTATAGGTAAGTGAAAAATTCCAAGAACTCAAAGCACACCTTCGCGCTGTTCACCTCCAACTCCATTGGTGACCAGAGTAATTTGCTGGGCAGGAACCATCAGCCTGGTTTTTCCAACCACCACCGACTGCTGCGGATGATGTGCACTCATCACAGTGCTGCTCACGAATGGGCCGACGCCTGAAATAAGAACTGGGGGCAAATGTGTCAGATTGAGTGCTTCCAGTCGTTGCCATGGGTCAGTGGTACCTTGTCCAGGGGAGCCTGGAGCTGACTGGCTGGTTTTCACCTCGAGGTGAGAAGACCCGTGTGAAACGATGGGCGAGGAAACTCCCGATGAGAGGGCACTGTCATTGTAGGCATCAGGAACGGGGGAGCCTTCTCTTGACAATGACTCGGGGGTGATCAGTCCACCCATGCTGTGAGTTGGTGAGGCTGGAGCGCTGCGTGAGGAAAGGCCAAACGGAGCCCTGAAGCATGGCACTCCACGCTGGCGACGCCTTCGGAAGGCCTGCTCGATCAGCTTTGTCTCGGAGGTGGGGTCGATGCGCCAGAAAGAACCTTTGCCAGGCTCCTCAGTGGAGCGAGGCACTTTAATGAAGTAGCGGTTCAGAGACAGGTTGTGTCGAATGGAGTTCTGCAAGATATAAATAAAATTTCTTTTTATTAAAAATGCAAGAGAAATTGTAGCCAACTGTTCATTTTTACCATTATTATGGTTTTCTGAAAAATAAGTAATTTAACACTTCGAAGATTTTTAAATTTCAATCAAATGCAATTATATATTGCCCATGATGAGAGCCCAATAAACACTAATTCTTAATAAAAAAAAAAAAAAAATTTATCCGCGATTGTCTTAAAAAAATTAAATTTTTGTAAATTTTCCATGATCATCTCGAAATTATAAATGAAAAAGTATGGACAGTTAAAATTAACTTGGCTGCAAAAATGTCCCATGTGATTGTATTTAGACGGCCTAAATTTAGATGTACAGCCAGATCTATTTGGAGGAACAGTATTTAAAAATAAGGCAGCCTACACAATGTGGCCAGCACACCATTTAGACCTCTAGCTGAGAGACAACAATAAAAATATTAGCTGGGTAATGCTGAGCCAAGATTTTATCACGAACAATAAATTAATAAAAATTTTTTCATACATACTACATTAAAATTTTCGCACTATATTTGCAGCCGTTTCTTTTCTTTAAGAAGTAAACTCTAACCTGCTTATAACAGACTTCAATAATAAATGGTCAATTACCTGCCAGCCTTTATCAGCAGTGCGATAGTAAGGATAATTTTTTGTTATGTACGAGTAGATGCCACTGAGAGTTAGTTGTTTGTCATGCGCCGATGCAATTGCCTGGACTATCAGTTGGGCATACGAGTATGGAGGCTTTGAATCGTCCTGAAACAAAAATTGAGATTAATTAAAATAAATTTTTAAACGAAGAAAAAAACTGATACGTTTAGGTATGAAAGATAATAAAGCAACCTTTGGTGGGCTATATGGTTCAGTGGTGGCCATAGGAGTGGCGGTTCCATTGGGTCCTGCCCTGTACAACTTTTGGGTGACCTGTTCCTCCGGAACGGCAGAGCTGGAAGGGGCTGTACCGATGTCGCTGCTTATGACCACCGAACGGCCTCCTCCTCCGTCCTCTGAGCTTCCTGTGGCAATCACAGGTCTGTGTGCAGCCGCATAGGCAGCAGCCATCGTCAACTCAGCGCCTACGTTGCGTCGTCCTGAGCCTCCTCGTGGACTGGCAGGACATGAGTTGGCAGCACTGCAAACCAATCACATGCAAATGCATTACAAACTTTGATACTGCAAATAATTTTGTTGAATTGGCTATTTTGCATTAATGCTGTGTTATCATTTAACTTGAACGTTGAGCATCACTCTTTCCATTTGATTGTGTACCTTCCTTGGTACTTCGGATGACATAATAAAATAAAATTTAATAGAAACAATAAATAAGTAAAAAACTAACATAAATAAATTATTAAGTAAAGAGAAATAATTTTAAAAAGAAAATAGGGGAAAATATTTCTAAATATAAGTGAAAACAATTTTTAACGAGGAAAATCCTGGTTAAAAATTTGTAGCAGAATACAATATTTTTGTGTTTTACATATTTCAACTCAAAGATTAATAGCAGAAATTTATTGATCATGACTTTTTTAAACGAACATAGCTTTTAATTTTTTTAAGGAAACAAAAAACTTTCTTGTTTACAAACAAATTAGCACTTCCTTATTCATGACTTTACTAAATTTAATGCTTAAACTGAAAGTATTATTCATCAGATCTTCTTAAAAATTCCATAAGAGGGTCACATCAATCTTATAGTGCATGAGCTTACAAGTTTGAAAATTTAGATTTTATAGAAGAATTTCTCATTTTAGGGTCACTAAATTTAAAAATATCTTCCATTGGATCGGGATTATTTTAGAAGAGGAAAAGCTGACTTTAATCTAACTTGCCATGATAACTTAATTTTGTTTCATAATGAATAAAATAAATTGTTCTAAGATTCCATAAAAATTATAATTTTGAATACAACTTTTTGATTGGAGTAGTATTGAGCAGTTTTTCCCCTGCTACTTAATGGTTTTCTTTTAATCAAAGCCAAAATTATTTCTCACACAAACGCAGTCAAGACAATAAGACAAACATTATAGTTGAACCTAATAATCAGCCATCTTGGTTTTTTTTTAAAATTATATGTGAAATGAATTACCTAATAGTTCCACTAGGCGATGGGAAGGGACTGCTGAATCCACCATCTGAGTCTGGAATGTTGATTCTCAGGGGCACCATGGGCTTTTGCTTGACTGGCGAGGGCAGTCGGACTGCTACTGGTGGGTCTGCGTCGCCGACCAGCGACTGGAAGGACAGCCTGATGTTCGTACTTGGAAAGCGGAAGGTGCAGCTGCAAGAAAAAATCCGAATTACTTCCAGATTCAAAACATGCGACAGTGTGTATAAGAAATCGAGCGTAAATCACTTGAAAAGGTCGAGAGAGCATTGAGCTGATTTATTTACGTCACTTGTTTGTGTTGTCGTCAACATTACTTAATAATGCAAGAAAGTTGTTTGGCTTTTCACTCGAACAGATTCTGGTAAAAATTTGGTAAGTTCCACAAAAACTTGAGTCATTTGCAATAGAAAATTAACAGAACAACAAAATGTGGACGAAATTTGAAAACAAAATACAATTTTCGTGCTGCTTAACCCTTCCCCCTCGTGTGCTTGCCGCAAAAGCAATATGGCCATATTTAATTATCACATTTTTATTTTTAAGCACTTCACTCGGCTTTATCAAAGGGTTTGCGTGCGACCTGTTGAATTAATTACAGTTTCAATTGCAAAATGAATAAAATTTGATTAAATTTGGAAAACGAGGCGAGCACGTTCGCCGCCGTGGGTGTCGTCGGAGCGACCGACCGACCGACGAAAACATCCGGGGGGGAAAACAAGAGAGCGTTCGATAATGCAGTCCAGATTGACCGAGAGGCCCTTGCGCCCCCGGGGCCTGGGTTCGGCGGCCCCCGGTTCGGAGCCGGCCCCCCGCAGATAAAGATGGCCTTGGGCCGAGTGCAAGTGTAAACATGCGTGTGTTTACACTGCTGTGTGTCGTGCATTTGTATTGGGCCGGGCGAGGCTGCTCACTTTTTGGACAGCTGGAGGGCCGGGGCCCCCTTGCGCTGGAAGACGCCGTCGACGAAGACGCCGTTCTTGCCGTTGCAGGTCATGTAGAAGTGCGGGTGCTCGAAAAAGACCTCAATGTGTTTGCGCGAGATGAAGCTTGAGTGGCCCATGTTTACATCGACCTCGCCTCGCGAGCTGTTGCGGCCGATGGTGATCCGCTTCTGCCGCACCATGTACTCGAACTCGCGGCCCTCTATCCGCGCGATGGCCACCCCGTTGTTCTCGGGACTCCACTGCACCTTCGATGGACTGGCCGGGGCCGATTTGAGGGCCAGCAGGGCCCACGCATCGCTTTCTTGGGACCTGGATTGTGCGGCCATATCTCTGCTACGAATATGGCTTCCCAGAAGGAGAAATAACCCCGAGTGAGAGAGAGCACGGCAGGAGGGGAGGGGGCAGTATATGACGGAGGTGCTGGCTGCCTGCATTCCAAAACAAATGGTGGGGGAGGCGAATCATAACAAAAACAAATTATATTTCCACAGGCGGCGGGGAATTTGTTTTGCTGCTTTGGCTTGCTGCTGGACCGCTATGTTCCCTACCCTGGTTCGAAAGCGACTATTTTTAAATTCGTCGCCTCATGCATTATTTCTGATTATCCTTTTGATATAGAACTTTTGCAGTTAGCTATTATGGACGAGACTTTAAAAACAATGCAAAACTAATTATCCTAATTATAACGTTATTGATTAATTCTAACCGGCAACCTCATAGTTTTTTTTTTATGTGTAAATTGATAAAATTGATTTCAAAAGTCAACCTTAGTTTTTGAAAACATATTAAAATGATATAGATATAATCCGCAAGCATTTCTGACATAATATACAACATTTTCATTTTTAGTCCAACTTTTGGTTTAATTTTCAAATTTAAATTGAAGCAAAATATTAAATAACTAACTTTAGTTTTCAAAGATTATTTCAGAGAATTAAATCAATTGACAAGCAATATTTATTTCAAATTCATCAAATTTATTACATTTTTATTGGATTTTGGTTATATCCATACATAATTTGACAAGTCTTACAAGTTAAAAAATACAGAGTTTATAAAATAAAATATTAAATGCATAACTCATACAAAACATTTCAATAAAATAGCTCTTGACACTCGAGAAACATTATAGTAAAAATGCTTGTACAAGTTTTAACTCTAGCTTCCAAATGTGTCATTATTTAAAATGTTCAAACCTCATGAGTTCAAAATGCAGATCTAATTCAATCAGATTCAAACAAGGTCATCATATGCTTAGCATCCTGTTTCATCTTTGCTCTTTCTAAGCATTTGTACAGCACTCCAAGAGTAGCGTTTTTGGCTTTTATATTCTTCCACTCAAGCAGCACTTGGTATGCTAATTCCCTTGTACCCTGGCCTTTATGTTCTACTTCGATACTGGTGACGGATGACTCGTCCAGTCCTAAATCTCTGGCAAATGTCTTCCACTTGCTTGCAGATAAAACTTCTGTTATTTTCCACAGGTTATTAGTAGTCAAAATTTTTTGACTAATCCTATGGTTTTTGCTTGAGGATTTAACGGATGTTGCTGTTCGACCAGCAGAGGTATAAGAGTGGTGACCGTCATCTTCATCACTGGAAATTGAACCACTGGAGCTTTCTTCACTTCGAGGAGCAGGAGACACATGACGTTGCCTTTTTGGTGGAGGTTCTTTCTTTGAGCTTCGTTTGGAGGAGTTTTTCCCAGAGCTAGGATGAGATCGTTTTTGTGAGGATGATGCCCTGTGTCTTGAAGGAGGTGGCCTCATCTCCGAGTCTAAAAGACGAATTAAAGTTGAAATGAATTTGATTCAAAAATGAATATTCTATTATTTTAGAACAATGCATATTGTTTGAAGGTAATTTTAAAAAAGATTCTGCAATTCAATTCAACAAATGATCGCAAAATTTGTGAATAAATACTTTTGGTAAGGAAAATCGTTCAAATATTTTTACCTGCATCTTCATCTTCGGGAGACTCCTCTACATTGGGTTTTTCTTGGTCATTCTCTTTACGGTTCCAAAAATTGAAAAATTTTGACATTGGAGATAACTGCTTGTTTAGATATCCACTGGCTGAATTGCATGGACTTGAGCCTGCACTGCTAGTTGGTGGGGTTTCGTTGAACTTTTTCAGGCCAATGTCTCTAGAAACGGCAAACAGAGCTTGAACGAATTCGTCAGGTGTGCCTCCTCTTAACTGATATAAATTGGTCATCGCCACAAATGGATCTCCTGAGGGCTGATATAGAAATTAATATTAGAAATCATTTGAAAATCTAGAATAGCAATTTAAAATATTTACCACGAGCTTAGTTCTGATCTCATTTTTGGTAAATCCGATGGACTGAGCAAAACGTTGCCAATTGCTCTCTTCTGTGATTTCCAGATTCGCTGCAAGTTCTTTAATGGCTACAATGGTCCATCTTTCTCCATTGTTTCCAGTGTTCATTTCAGTCTCATTTCCAGACTAGAGATTTTTATATTAATTAAATCATATCAAGTTGAGATAAGCCATACTTTGTACAAGTTGAACTCAAAGATCAAGTCATTTCTGCCGGTGTTCTTAGATTTTTCAACCAGGACCTTTCCAAATGCACCCATGTCAATTTTGGAGTCACTTTTGAACCTACAGTTTTAAGTTAATAGCAATTTTGAGCAATTAAAGTTAAAAATTATTTAATTACCTGCAAGCGTACTGCTTTTCAAAATCTCTTCCCCGAAAATCAGGCTCTTCTTTGCACATTTCCGCCTCTTCTCCTGCTTCTGTGTCAGCTTCAAACATTTGGGACCTCAATCTAACTAAGATTTTTCCAGGCCGCATCAGCTTGGGTTTATTGCAAGCACCAACCCTATGCTGAAGATTAGATGTGTCAGGCAACTTGCGGTCACTGCGGTAGCAAATTACTTCCAAGCCAAATCTAAAAATAAAGTTTGTGAGTTATTTAAATTGATTAATTATTGCTAGAAAAAAAATACCTATTGGTGTTGGGAGTTTCTTGCATAAAAGCTTCACACATCATGGAAAAAGTAACAAAGTTAGCGAAATGAGCCATCCCAATTTTTGCCTCTGTCAGACTACTGGACACAATGTCCCAAAATACAGTGAAGAAGCTGAAGTGCTGGACTTTAAAAGTCACCACTGGCATTCCAGATGGGTGTTTTAAGTTTAAAACAATGTCAGTACGCAGTCGACTCCAATTTACTGGCTCCATCTCACTAGTTGGGCTTTGCCAGACAGCAAGTGATTTCAAAGGGTCTTTGATCTTAAAATAGTTGCAAATTTCTTGCAGGTCAGGTACAGGTAGATTGATAGTGACCAAAGGTCGGTCCGGAGGGAACTCGAGGCCGTGAGGTCCAATCATGATGATTGGCGATGCCAACGAATACCGTCGCTTGAGATTATCAGGTAAGAGGGCAGTATCCGTGTCAAAAATAACCCTGAGATAAGCATCAATGTCATCTTCAAGACAGCCCCTGGGAAAGGTCACTTCAACTCCAGGAATGTCCTCGATGAACAAAGAACCACCGTTTCGTTTCCTAATTCTCTTCTGCCTTTCAGGATGGGGTTCTTCTAATATCACAGTAAAGAGGCTAAAGTGATTTACGATCATGATAATGAAGCCGTCTTTGTATCGGTAACATGTTTTAGGTAATCTTTCCCATTTCGGCTCCTGAAAAAAATTGAGAATATAATTTTAAAGGTTTTAATTGCAAATTATTTTTAAATTTCGGACTTTTTAATTTTCAATTATTTTTTTGAGGAGTAATAGATGAAAAAATCTTATTAAAACAATCTAAACTTACCTCATTTTCTGCAGTGTTGCTACGAAGGCACACAATGAGATTTTCGTCGTGAACACACACTGGTATTGAGAGGTAAACCTGATACCTCTCTTCAAAATGCATTCCATGAGGCCCTAGTGAGATGATCGGAGAGCACAACCGTTCCATTTTGCTCAGTTTTGGAATATACTTTGGATCACTGAGAATCACCAGTTGAGCATTTTGAAGTTTTCTGGCACTGGATGCAGGAATTATGGCAGTGACTCTGCTCTGAGGATCTTTAAGAACTCTAGCAGTAGACGGTACTTCATCTGCAGACTCCCAATCACCCTTGCTATTGTTGTCCTCCTCACTGTCCCACTGGCACATTTCCAAAGAGTTCTTCAGATCATCAACACAAATTCCATCATCGTCATCACTGAAGAAAATTTATTCAAATTAATTACACCATTCATAAAAAAAATGCTAATCACCTTGAGACGACTCCAATTCCACTCATATTTTCGCAATTACACGATTCATGAGGCGAAGTTGACGCAGACACACTGCTCACAAGTGATTGGCCGGACTTTTCCGATGCTGTTCCATAATCAGAGGTGCTCTCTGTAAACTTAAGTTTCAGCCCTGGCAGGTCACTCCAAGGTTTGGAGGTTCCCTCTTGCCAGGCTTTCATGGAGCCTCTGGTTATGGGACGATCTGCAGGTAAGGAGGGAAGCTGCAGTTTCCGAGAGGTAGCTGACGCTTGTCGAACACCTCCTTGTCCTTTTTTAGACCGGTTCGGCACTTTGAAAGCCTCTTGATTCATGGCCATTCTTTCAGAAAAATCAGCGATTGATGAAGACTAACTAAAAGCCTAGAATAGCAGTTGGGAAAAAATGCATTTTTTATTGCTGTTGTTCCACTTAAAAATGTTTTACTAAAATAAAATTTGAATTACATAAATACATACCTTTCTTGTCGAATCACTTTACGATTTACGATCTAACAGAGTTTCTATTAAAAATTCCGAAGATAAGCTTCATTTTTAGACATTTAAGCCATCGTTGGACTATTTTGCAGATTGGTAACAAACTCAAAACCAAACATAACAAATCCACGCTCTTCGCTTTTTAAAGCACAGACGCGAGTTTTAAAAATAAAGACCCGAAGCCATGTTTACGAAACTAACCAACCAATGGGGCTCGTGAAATCGAGCAATGAGGTCATGCGCGCAACCGCACTGTTCACATGTTTAGTTTCGAATTTCGAATATTAGTGGCGCTTCGGGTGGTGTACAGACGCTGAAACAAGCGCTGAAATTTTCAGTTGGTAGATAATTTATTGAATCAAATATCAAATTTACCAAATTTATTACATCAAAAAATTTGTTTTAAATCTCCAACTGGAGAACTGGAGCGTAGTTATTAACGGGTCCGCATTTTTAAATTATAGCTTAGAAAAAAATTAAAAAAGGAAAACTTTAAAAGAAAAATGAAGCCAATTAATTTTTCGATAATTTCTTTCATAAGCATTAGATGACGTCAACATTTTTTTACTTACATCCCCAGAAGGTTCAAAATCAAAATATTATTTTTAAGCAACGATAAAAATTTTCGCTCGCTCTTTACTTGAAATAATTTGAAATATTAGTTAATATTTGAATATTTTATTAAAAATGAAATTAAAAAAAAAATTATAACAAATCCCTGGCAGCGCCTGCTGTATAATATTGTTTATCCAACTTTGAAATGTGATCGACTACAAAAATTTCAATCTCCCCATAGATAATATAAAGTTTATTTATAAAACAACTTATTAATACAGATTAGCCTCATAAGAACAACAAAATCCAATTTATACTTTTTTTGGACCAATTTGGACTGGAAGCTTGGAAAGCGTCAAATTTGTTCATCGTAAACAAATAAATCGTAATTAAAAATTTTGCCATTTTTTCACAAATTGGTTCCGTAATTTAATTATGGTTATTAGAGGACTTGACATTTTTATAGACGATTCAAATTTTACTAGAGATTAGGAAAAATCCTCTTTGGATTTTTTTCTACTTTTTTTTCAAGCGTAGTGAACGGTTTTAAAAGTACTAACATCATTCATGATTTTTATTGAAATTAATTTAAAACAAAAAATAATAAATTTGAGCCACTGCTTGCCAAAAGGGCCGAAGCAACAAATGTCAGACAGGCGAACTGGAAAAGCGATCCCGAAGGCGGAGTTGCAGATTTACCCTGGTGCAGAAAAGTTGCAAGGCAAAAAAGCAGCGAGCTTACGAGCTTAGCCTGCAAAAACCCCACATTCTTCCTAAATCATGACGTTGGCCGTTGGCCTGAAAATTTGTACATTTTTTTTTATCAAAAATTAAAAAAATCTTTTTGGTAAACTTCAAGTTCCAGCGCTGCGAATTTTTATTTTCAATATTTTAACCCTAAAAGTTTTTGAATTATGCTCACGATTCATATTTCCTTGCCGAGAAATAAATCACATAAAACAAAAATATATAATTTTATAATGACCGAATTTTCAAACTATATTCAAACAACAATTGACTTTTCTCGGAGCAGTATGCAAAAACAAATACAAGAATTTACTCACCAACAATGCAAGACACAAGTAGCAACTAAAAGAGCTCTTAATTTTTATTTGATGTCATAAAATACAAAATAATGAAGAAAAAAATTGTATATAATTTAAGTTAAAGTCGGGCCAGTGGTCAATTGCAAAATTAGGAAGGATCAGTGATTTGAATTAGCTTTGTAATATTCTCAAAAAATAATTGACCCATTTTAAATATTTCATTATCAAAATCACCAAAATAATCACATTTAATCTGCCTTCGAGGCCGCGAAATAAATGTGCAAAAATGACATTAATTACAATCAAAATTGCCTTGAAAGATTAATATTTTTAACAAATTTATAAAAATAATTTTGCCACACATATTCAGTGTGAATATGTTAGCTTTTCACTGGATAAATCTACGTAAGACTCGAAAATACAAAAGTGCAAATAAATATATTTCTTATTTATTCGAGTTGAATTGATGAACTCCAAAGAAAGAAAGGCAAACATTTAAAGAATTTATTGGCTACTTCAATTTATTTTATTTCTTAGTCAACTCATATTGTGTTTAATTAAAATTATGGTCCGCACAATACAAATGGTGAGACAATGATGGGGGGTGCTCGCACGCCATTCACAATAAAGCGGGGGTGGGCAAGCATTTGACCGACCCTCCTCACCAACCACAGGGGAAAACCACCCCTGAAAACCCTGTGGCGGAGTCTTACTGTTAGATTTGAACAATATTTCCTCATATCAATACAAATACGATATAATACATAAATATACACATTAAAGTCTTTAACAGTTTTCTTAGTTTGATATATATCTTAAAATTATTAATTGTTGTTTTGTACAACCAAAACTTTCATTAATACAATTAATTTGACGCTGACAGCTGACATCAAACCTCGCCGCAAGGTAAGGTTTGAGTCAATTTGGATCATAAATTATTGTTCAGATGTTTATAAAAGGCATGCATATAAAAGGACGCTGACATCAAACCTCGCCGCAAGGCAAGGTTTGAGTCAATTTGGATTGTAAATTATTTTTCAGATGTAAATAATAGACAAGCATTTAAAACGACGCTGACATCAAACCTTGCCGCAAGGCAAGGTTTGAGTCAATTTGGATTGTAAATTATTTTTCAGATGTAAATAATAGACAAGCATTTAAAATGACGCTGACATCAAACCTTGCCGCAAGGCAAGGTTTGAGTCAATTTGGATTGTAAATTATTTTTCAGATGTAAATAATAGACAAGCATTTAAAATGACGCTGACATCAAACCTCGCCGCAAGGTAAAGTTTGAGTCAATTGCGAAAAAAATTATCAATCAAAACTTCAAGTATTAAATGTGAACTAATTCGGACGCTGACATCAAAACTCGCCACAGGTAAGTTTTGAGTCAAAAAGTCAAGTGAAAAAATTAATAATCAATTAACTTCTAAATATAAATATTAAGTAACAAAAAGAGCTCAGCCTGTGTGTTTCTTTTCGTGCGTGTCTTTCACCATCACTGCTTCTCTAACTGCTGATCCTTTTCTTCTTCTTTGCAGTGCTTCCTGCTTGAACCCGATCTGCCATCTGGGCGATCATGTCCAGGGTTTCGATCACACCTATTCAAGGTGATCTGCAAAGTGCAAAGAATCAGGATAAAAAGACAACAGTTAAATTTGCCTCATGCAGAAGAATTTTTCCGAATTTCAATTATATATATGTTCAAATCTAGCTTATACCTGTCTTCTTTTCGGCTCAGGGATGAATAGTTGAATCCTTTGCAGGACGCTACTCTTCCTCACCCTCAATGCTCTGCTCAAAAGTAAAAACTTTAACAAATCTTTTATTCGTTAAAACCCCAGTGCCGGTTTTGTAAGCTGCAAAATTGCAGCACCAGGGGTGGATTAGTTTTGAGTGAAAGGAAGAGAATGCGAGTTGTCGGTAAAAAATTCAGGGAAGACACAACCTGCCATATTTTGCAGTCCATTCATAGCTATTTTAGATCAACTTGCCAAACGACTTCCTTCTCCTGCCTCATTTCTTGACAACTTCAATATCTATAATAAAAATGATATTTTCGATAAGCACCTCGGAACAATTGTATTAACTGATTACCTTTTTACACAAAAAGTTTCATTGCTCCTCTCAATTGATTCGTTTTTTAAGTTGGAGCTTAATTGGCTGTCTGCGCAGCCACCAATAGTGCCGCTTTTCCTTCAAAGACTCCCATCAGACTGCACACTCTGCAAGGCCTTTCTGTCATGGACCCCAAAGGATGCCTAAAACTCGAACAAAAAAAAACTGACAAAGTAAACAGATAGAAATGCTCTTTTTAGAAGGCCAACAGTATAGAAAAATAAAGAAGATTGTTTGTGTTCGGTCGAGAACATCCCGAACGGCAGCGTCCTTTGCGGTCAGACGGTGCCACTCGAGGCGCCCTGTCCCAGGAATCCACAAAGGCGCACTGAACAAGGTTCAACACGCCTCCCTGGCAGGGCAGCACCAGGGGTGGATTAGTTTTGAGCAGTGAAAGGAAGAGAATGCGAGTTGTGGGTAAAAAATTCAGGGAAGACACAACCTGCCATTTTTCGCAGTCCATTCATTGCTGTTTTAGATCAACTTGCCAAACGACTTCATTCTCCTGCCTCACTTCTTGCCAACTTCAATGATCTATAATAAAAATCATATTATCGATTAGCACCTCGGAACAATTGTATTAACTGATTACCTTTATTCACAAAAAGTTTCATTGCTCCTCTCAATTGAATCGTTTTTCAAGTTGCAGCTTAATTGGCTGTCTGCGCAGCCACCAGTAGTGCCACTTTTCCTTCAAAGACTCCCATCAGACTACACACTCTGCAAGGCCTTTCTGTCATGGACCCCAAAGGATGCCTAAAGCTCGAACAAAAAAAACTGCCAAAGTAAACAGATAGAAATGCTCTTTTTAGAAGGCCAACAGTATAGAAAAATAAAGAAGATTGTTCGTGTTCGGTCGAGAACATCCCGAACGGCAGCGTCCTTTGCGGTCAGACGGTGCCACTCGAGGCGCCCTGTCCCAGGAATCCACAAAGGCGCACTGAACAAGGTTCAACACGCCTCCCTGGCAGAGCAGCACCAGGGGTGGATTAGTTTTGAGTGAAAGGAAGAGAATGCGAGTTGTCGGTAAAAAATACAGGGAAGACACAACCTGCCATTTTTCGCAGTCCATTCATTGCTGTTTTAGATCAACTTGCCAAACGACTTCCTTCTCCTGCCTCACTTCTTGCCAACTTCAATGATCTATAATAAAAATCATATTATCGATTAGCACCTCGGAACAATTGTATTAACTGATTACCTTTATTCACAAAAAGTTTCATTGCTCCTCTCAATTGAATCGTTTTTCAAGTTGCAGCTTAATTGGCTGTCTGCGCAGCCACCAGTAGTGCCACTTTTCCTTCAAAGACTCCCATCAGACTACACACTCTGCAAGGCCTTTCTGTCATGGACCCCAAAGGATGCCTAAAGCTCGAACAAAAAAAACTGCCAAAGTAAACAGATAGAAATGCTCTTTTTAGAAGGCCAACAGTATAGAAAAATAAAGAAGATTGTTCGTGTTCGGTCGAGAACATCCCGAACGGCAGCGTCCTTTGCGGTCAGACGGTGCCACTCGAGGCGCCCTGTCCCAGGAATCCACAAAGGCGCACTGAACAAGGTTCAACACGCCTCCCTGGCAGAGCAGCACCAGGGGTGGATTAGTTTTGAGTGAAAGGAAGAGAATGCGAGTTGTCGGTAAAAAATACAGGGAAGACACAACCTGCCATTTTTCGCAGTCCATTCATTGCTGTTTTAGATCAACTTGCCAAACGACTTCCTTCTCCTGCCTCACTTCTTGCCAACTTCAATGATCTATAATAAAAATCATATTTTCGATTAGCACCTCGGAACAATTGTATTAACTGATTACCTTTTTACACAAAAAGTTTCATTGCTCCTCTCAATTGAATCGTTTTTCAAGTTGCAGCTTAATTGGCTGTCTGCGCAGCCACCAGTAGTGCCGCTTTTCCTTCAAAGACTCCCATCAGACTACACACTCTGCAAGGCCTTTCTGTCATGGACCCCAAAGGATGCCTAAAACTCAAAACAAAAAAACTGAAAAAGTAAACAGATAGAAATGCTCTTTTTAGAAGGCCAACAGTATAGAAAAATAAAGAAGATTGTTCGTGTTCGGTCGAGAACATCCCGAACGGCAGCGTCCTTTGCGGTCCGACGGTGCCACTCGAGGCGCCCTGTCCCAGCAATCCACAAAGGCGCACTGAACAAGGTTCAACACGCCTCCCTGGCAGGGCAGCACCAGGGGTGGATTAGTTTTGAGCAGTGAAAGGAAGAGAATGCGAGTTGTCGGTAAAAAATTCAGGGAAGACACAACCTGCCATTTTTCGCAGTCCATTCATTGCTGTTTTAGATCAACTTGCAAAACGACTTCCTTCTCCTGCCTCACTTCTTGCCAACTTCAATGATCTATAATAAAAATCATATTTTCGATTAGCACCTCGGAACAATTGTATTAACTGATTACCTTTTTACACAAAAAGTTTCATTGCTCCTCTCAATTGAATCGTTTTTCAAGTTGCAGCTTAATTGGCTGTCTGCGCAGCCACCAGTAGTGCCGCTTTTCCTTCAAAGACTCCCATCAGACTACACACTCTGCAAGGCCTTTCTGTCATGGACCCCAAAGGATGCCTAAAACTCAAAACAAAAAAACTGAAAAAGTAAACAGATAGAAATGCTCTTTTTAGAAGGCCAACAGTATAGAAAAATAAAGAAGATTGTTCGTGTTCGGTCGAGAACATCCCGAACGGCAGCGTCCTTTGCGGTCAGACGGTGCCACTCGAGGCGCCCTGTCCCAGGAATCCACAAAGGCGCACTGAACAAGGTTCAACACGCCTCCCTGGCAGGGCAGCACCAGGGGTGGATTAGTTTTGAGCAGTGAAAGGAAGAGAATGCGAGTTGTGGGTAAAAAATTCAGGGAAGACACAACCTGCCATTTTTCGCAGTCCATTCATTGCTGTTTTAGATCAACTTGCCAAACGACTTCATTCTCCTGCCTCACTTCTTGCCAACTTCAATGATCTATAATAAAAATCATATTTTCGATTAGCACCTCGGAACAATTGTATTAACTGATTACCTTTATTCACAAAAAGTTTCATTGCTCCTCTCAATTGATTCGTTTTTCAAGTTGCAGCTTAATTGGCTGTCTGAGCAGCCATCAGTAGTGCCGCTTTTCCTTCAAAGACTCCCATTAGACTGCACACTCTGCAAGGCCTTTCTGTCATGGACCCTAAAGGATGCCTAAAACTCAAAACAAAAAAACTGAAAAAGTAAACAGATAGAAATGCTCTTTTTAGAAGGCCAACAGTATAGAAAAATAAAGAAGATTGTTCGTGTTCGGTCGAGAACATCCCGAACGGCAGCGTCCTTTGCGGTCAGACGGTGCCACTCGAGGCGCCCTGTCCCAGGAATCCACAAAGGCGCACTGAACAAGGTTCAACACGCCTCCCTGGCAGGGCAGCACCAGGGGTGGATTAGTTTTGAGCAGTGAAAGGAAGAGAATGCGAGTTGCCGGTAAAAAATTCAGGGAAGACACAACCTGCCATTTTTCGCAGTCCATTCATTGCTGTTTTAGATCAACTTGCCAAACGACTTCCTTCTCCTGCCTCACTTCTTGCCAACTTCAATGATCTATAATAAAAATCATATTTTCGATTAGCACCTCGGAACAATTGTATTAACTGATTACCTTTATTCACAAAAAGTTTCATTGCTCCTCTCAATTGATTCGTTTTTCAAGTTGCAGCTTAATTGGCTGTCTGAGCAGCCATCAGTAGTGCCGCTTTTCCTTCAAAGACTCCCATCATACTGCACACTCTGCAAGGCCTTTCTGTCATGGGCCCCAAGTGATGCCTAAAACTGAAACAAAAAACCAAAAAAGCAAACAGAGAAATTCTATTATTAAAAGGCCAACGGTATAGAAATATATAGAAGATTGTGTGTGTGTTCGGCCGAGAACATCCCAAACGGCAGCGTCCTTTGCGGTCAGACGGTGCCACTCGAGGCGCCCTGTCCCAGGAATCCACAAAGGGGCACTGAACAAGGTTCAGCGCACCTCCCTGGCGTGGCAGAACCAGGAGTGGATGTTTTAATAGTGAAGCAAGAGAGAGAAACAATAAAAATATTAAAAATATGGAATGTTAGAACTTGACGCTTATTCTGTCTCCTCGAAGCTGTTTTGGATCAACCTGGCTAGTGCCTTTGTTCTCCTGCCTCACTTCTTGCCATCAATCTAGTATAAAAATCATAATAGCGATAGCTTTTGATAAGCACCTTAATTTAATTAACATATATCATACCTTATCCATAATAAGTTTGCTCTTCCCACATTTGATTCATATTGCCATATTCATGGCATTCGATAGGAAGAGGTGCCTCAAATGGTGTTCCCTTCCTGGCAACCTTCCTTTCTCAGGAAGTCGGAGCCTGCTGATCAGCTTTTTCTCCAAAGCCACCAATTTAGGCCGCTTTTCCTTTGGAGACTCTTGTCACATTGCACACTCTGCATGGCTTTCTGGCCTATAATGATGCCATTTTAATTTTTTTATCATTTGAAATTTCTCTTTTTTTTTTCAAACCTGCAGCTATATGCAGAGTATTAATTTAAGATTTTTATCTGCAAAAATTCCAATTTAAGAGGATGTAATATATGAAAAAGAACATATTAAAGACAAACCTTCCAAAACATTTCTCTTACTGGCTTCTCCGTCCTCTCAAATCTGAAGACCATTTGCAGAGCTAGGGTAAAAAAGCTGGATCTTCTTCCATGGAAATATTCTTGGCTGCATTTTGCGCCGCTTTTCCTTCAGGATAGCACCCCATGTATTCATGCGCAGAGATACACAACTAAAAAATATACTTTCATCAATAAAGAAGTCGAGTTTTAACCTTTCACTTTTATACATACCTCTCGAGGTCAATCAATGGAATGCCAGCCAGCTGAAGATGTTCTCAGTCAAGTGTCTTCATATTTGTGTGTTTTACCACAAAAAACTCAGAGGAAATTCATGAAAAGTGCCCAGAAACAATATATTAGAAAATGATTCAAATTGCAATTAAAATTATAAGCCAACTTCCTGATTACCGTAATTTAAAAAAACTCGCGATTTCATCATGATTATGGAAACTGATTAAAAGCGCAGATGTTCACAAAATCTTCAATTTGTGGATGGATATTGATTAAGTTAAAAATAGAAATTTATAAAAAACGGAAAAAGTACATACACATTAAGTGATAAGTGCGTGTTTACAAACAAGCGATCGGTGTAGGCAGCAAAGAGCTTTGATTTCAATTTGTGGCATACAGGAATTTTGAATGGGTCACAATGTAAAAAAAAATCGTAGTTTTCACATGTCTGATCCCAGAAGCGGACATTATTGTCAGTCGTACAGTTTTAAAGTGGATTCAGTAAATGACTTTACCAAAGCCGAATTAAGCGTTTAAAATTTAACTGTGTTTATGGTGCGAATTCTAAAATGTAATTATTGCCTTGTTTAAAACAGATAAACGGAGACGCATGAGATTTTTTTATACCTAATAATGCAACTAAATCTATATTATAGCTGTCAAAATGCGCGAGATTCTACACCCATATAAGTTGAAAACTTCCCAAAATCCGGTTCCAATTGCCCGTGTCCATCATGTATGGTAGACGGAACTGGAACCTTCGGAAGTTTCAACCCTCCATCCCTTCCTCCCGAGGGAGAACCCGTGGTTCGACCTGCCACCGGTGCGACAGGCCGAAGCCGAGGAGCCTCGGAATCCACTTGCAAGTGCCACCCGAAGGTCGGTCAGCTTGCAAGCCATCGGAGATTGATCTCCGGTCGCAGCATCCGCAGGTCAACCAGGTCGCGTGTGCCAAGAGACAGGCCTGGGGCCAGATGGCAAGGCGACACAACGACAAGATTAAACTTGGGATGCTGAACGAATTAAACGCGCCGCGACGAGGCCGATTTTTTTTTTCAGTTTCCTCAAATGTTTGGAAAGATCAATTAATTTAAATGATTTAAAAGGCAATAATTATGCCGTTTTAATTTGATAATTTTTTTTTTAATTCGGATAACGCAGTTGGAATTACTTTACTGCTCTTTCTTCCACGCAGCCTGCTTTCATCCTAATAAGTGCGTTTAGATTCAAATTTTTATTTTTCAAAAGTCAAGGTTGATGCAGATTTTAATGAAACCAAATCAAAGTGAAAAACGCGCGCGTTGTTAGCTTAGAGAGTCAAATTGGATGGATCACTCAAGCCGGAAATCATCAACATCAAGTGGTGGCCCATCCTCAGACCTTCAAAGTTAACAATTATCCCCCCACCAGCCTCCGCCTCGTCAACAGAGCCGGATTGGAGAAGCCATATTTTAGCCGGACATCATCAACATAACCTTTGGCCTGTCCAGGCCCTATTGTTGACAAGTATACCCTATCGACGCGCTGCAAACTTCCAAGTCAAATCGGAAAGACGAGCTTAGCCGGATATCATCAACATAAGCTATGGGTCTATCCTCAGGCCCTGAAAAAGTTTGCAGTTAAACTGATCCTCGCATTTACATAACCATGAATCAGAAATAAAACGCATCACAATGATCTTGACTCAAGAAAACGTAAAAAACCGAGCCGAAACACACTTTGAGAATTACACGGCAGGCTGCCCAGAAGAAAAGGCGCCGCAAGAAAAAGGTGAAATGCATGACTAGAGAATTTTTTTGCAATGATGTAACAAGGCGCGAGATTCTACACCCTTTTTTAAGTCAAAACTTCCCAAAAACCGGTTCCAATTGCGCGTGTCCATCATGTATGGTAGACGGAACTGGAACCTTCGGAAGTTTCAACCCTCCATCCCTTCCTCCCGAGGGAGAACCCGTGGGTCGACCTGCCACCGGTGCGACAGGCCGAAGCCGAGGAGCCTCGGAATCCACTTGCAAGTGCCACCCGAAGGTCGTTCAGCTTGCAAGCCATCGGAGATTGATCTCCGGTCGCAGCATCCGCAGGTCAACCAGGTCGCGTGTGCCAAGAGACAGGCCTGGGGCCAGATGGCGAGGCGACACAATGACAAGATTAAACTTGCCATGCTGGATATAATGTTTTAGATTAAAAGTTAAAACGCGCCGCAAACAGGAATTAATATTAATTGATCTTTTTAAAAATTAATTAAAAGGCAATAATGATATTTTGATGCAATTGAATTTAAGTCTCTCAGCCTAAATATGCCATAAAAATTCATATTTCTTTCATTAGTCCTTTTATGAATGACAAATCAACATTAATTTTCACTGTCGTAGAAAATACACATTTTCAACAAGGATGAGATCGCGTCTTCTACTTTCCTCGATTTCAGTGAATGAAATGAGCAAGAAATTTTAAAATCAAAATTCGTTTTGAAAAGAACCAGAAGGATGTTGCTCAAAAATTATAATTAAAATTTACGCCGCGCACCATTGCACAGGGGATTGGCTGATGATGTCCTGTTCGGAGGCACTTGACTGACCGGACGTGTCCAGACACTCCAGACGAGAAAAATCTCCCAGAGCATCGTTCTTGTTTGACGAATGCGGACGGAAATTCCGTCTTTCGCGGCTCCTGAAAAGAAAATGAGTCAGCACGAAACTGTTCACATGTGAACGACGCCGCAGATTTCGAATTACATCCTCAATTCATTTAATCATAACAAGTCTCGGATTATGCACATAAAAATCCTAAAATTTTCACATTGATTGAAGCAGGATTTGAATACACAGAGTCGGAGGCATTTGCGATGACTAAAATTGAATCAATTTCATGCCTCGTTGGCGACTCGACAGCGGTATGTACGAAAAAGATCACGATTTTTTCCACGTTTAGAGCGCGATTAAGATGGCCGAATGGCTGTCAAAATCAAGACTTTTCTCACCTGTGAGACGATGACGTCGTTGCGTTGATGGCCGATGAAATTCGGCTCGGAAAAGCCACCATGAACACGCAGTCGGGTTTCTTGTCGGCAAAACGACGCTCTCGAAGCCACAAGATGGCCAACATGGCGTCTGTGTCTGGTTTCTTTCCGAGAGCCAAATGCGAGCAGAAACGCTGCAGATTTCTGTCTGTTCTGCGCTCCGACTTGTCTGGACTTGTCCAAAAAGGAGAGTGTGAAGTGTGTGAACGCGGCTGCGCTGTCGGTGCAAGGGTGGGAGGAGGGGAGACTTTGTTTGTCAGGGCACGTTTTTAAATTAAAAACAATCACTCTGCACGAAAAGTAATTAATATAAATTAGCGAAATTAGCAGTAAATTATATATAAAGTAAAAAAATTTGATTCAAAATTATATAAACTGTGAAGTTAAATATTTTCTCTGGTTTTAAAAAATTCTTGTCAAAATGTGTAGTTCAATTATTATTTATGATTCGATTTGATTCATTTTAATTGTTTTTTACAGACCCTTTGCATTCGTATTTTTGAATTATTTCATTAAGCGTCTGAATCGCAAGAAGTTTTGCAGCCGAATGAAAGTATGTGCCAGTTGAGTTGGTCGACCGCCGGATTTCAGCGGCCAGGTCAGGCCAGGTCGCGACTTTTTGTTTTGGCGCATTGTGTGAATTTTGCGCAGAAATTCAATTGCGCTAATTTAGAACGCTGAAATGTTCAGAGTTGGTAGATAATTAATTGAACCAAATTTACATAAAAAAAATGTAGCCAATTAATTTTTCGATAATTTCTTTCATAAGCATGATGAACGTCAAATTTTTTTACTTACCCCCAGAAGGTTCAAAAGCAAAATATTAATTTTAAGCAACGATAAAAATTTTTGAGATTTTTTTTTAAGATAGCCAATCGATTGGAAATATAATTTTAACCCTAAAAATCAAATTTCATCAAGAAAATATCCGTTTTTTAATTAGAAAATAATTATTTAAAGGCGCCGCCAGCTGCAGATGATGACGAGTGCCGCGTTTTGGTAAACTAGCTGAAAATTGAAAACGGTTTAAAATTTTAATTTTCTGATGAAATTTGAGTTCTAGGGTCAAACTTAAATTTCAAATCGATTTATTTTTTACATAAATCAATTTAAATTTTTTAATTCCAAAACAACTTATTAATACAGATTAGCATTGCCCAGTGCAAACCATACTCTCATTTGAAAATTGCTTACTTTATAAACTTCAAAGTCAAATAAGCAATTTACAGCAGTCAGCTTTTAATTACTATATTCCAATAAATCTAATATTATTACATTATTTTTTTTTATCAAATTTTTGAGAAGATTAATTTTTTTAGATTATTTAAATTCATCTGAAATACTCGCACAACGCTTTTGCTCTTTGCTTGAAATAATTTGAAATATTAGTTATTTGAATATTTTATTACAAATTAAAAAAAAAAATAATTAAAACAAATCCCTGGGCAGCTGTAAATTGCTTATCCAACTTTGAAATAATAAAAAAAGTAAAATATAATAAAAAATTTATGATTAAAATAATATATGAAAAAATTTGTCAACATTTTGTCAACAACCAATCTATTTAATATTTTTCAAACTTTTTGTTCAGGCCAAGATTGTCTTATAAAATTGAGAAACTTAAAAAATAAAATGGAATTTTGAACAAATGGGGCTGAATTTGTACATTATTGAAGCTGCATTTTTTTATCATGAAAATATTTTAATACAAATTTAATTTGTAATAAATAATAAAATATTCAAATAACTAATATTTCAAATTATTTCAAGTAAAGAGCGTGCGCTGGGTGATCACAGCGCTCGCAAAGGGTCTATACAAAACAAAAAAAGGCGGAAAGTTTGGAAAGGTCGAATTTTTAGTTTTTAGCAGTTGCAGTTCGGATCGGGAAATATAATTTTAAACCAAAAAGAGCTCCTGCAACGCATGTACACGCGCGCAGCACGGACATGAAGTTTAAATTATCTTTTTATATAATTATTTCCATCAAAAATTAGTACATGAGGACCATGAGGTATATAATATAATATATATGAGTACTGAAAAACTGCAGAGCATTATTTTAATTAAAAAAACACAATCTCAAATGCACGATGGAGGGTGAAATTTAAAATTTAAAACTAAAATTGCTTAAATTTAAAAAAAAAAAAATCTAGGAAGTGCTGGAAAAAATTAATAATAAATACAAAGTATGTTGTAACCTTTTTTCAAAAGAAAACACACTTAATTTAATCCTCAACAAAAATTTTAATGGATGTCTCTCCTTTTGATGTCATGTGTTACATTTGATAAATTTAAACATAACAATAACACACAATATGTAAAAGTTTTTGTTTTCACAGTAAGGACTGTGAAAGTATGCGCGTTGAAATGGTAAGTGAAACATTTAAATTTTTGTTTGATATACATTAGCTCATGTGTACTTGCTTGTTGGTTTCAGAAACACAAAATAACAAAATTTCACACATTGCCAAGGAGATAACTATACAGTAATAGTTCAGTGGTAATAGACGTGCTACAATTATTCATAGAAACATTGTTCACAGTTAGATACAAAGCGATTTAATACCTCAGAGAGCCCCATCCAATCAATTTAACATTAAATTGTTCTGGAAGAAATTTATGTAGGACAACATAAATTTGTTTGACTTTTGTACTAACACATCTCTCTAGTAAGAGGTAAATGCAAACACAAAATTGCCTCCGTATAATATATCATCCAATCATAGATTGGGTCCTGAGGTGTGAACTGTAAACCAAAAATTTAAAATTGAGAAAGGCATTGAAATTTAAAATTTTTTTTGTATAAAATTTATGTATAAAATTGCACAGGATTTTTCACAGACATCTTTAACGGCCTTTCTTATATTATGATTACAGAGTCTCTGTCAATAGATCTGCATAGTTTATTTTGTTAAAATGCTACTTCTTGCTTTGGAAAATGACTGTGGGATGTGTAAAGCAATATGATTCTGGAAATAATAATGTAACTAGGTAAGTTCAAAGTGTTGTTCTTTAAATGGGGAGATGTTTCAGCCTGACCTATGCAAAATAACATTTACAGCGACAGTCACAGCACCATCAAAATTGTTCAATTTGATCAATTTATTGTTCATATATGCCTTGTTACACTGAACACCAACGTTAGAATGTGTGCTTTTTGAGTTAATAAGTGGTAACATCACGAGTCGAGTACACGAACGGGTTAAACCGCACTTAATCTAATAAGGCCAGCCTGACTGCTGTTTCCGACGGAGGACGCCTCTTCGAGAGAGTCCAAGTCCAGCGCGGACTCTATCATGGTTGTGTCCTGCAAGAGGCGCAGTCTACTTGCACTAAGCACAGTCGAATCAGGTGTGCCACTTGTCGGCATGTCATGGGCACTGTTTGTGGAGGACATTTCATATCTTACAGGGGTTGGTGTGTTAACAGGGGCCATCAGGGTTGGTGCCACCGTTGCCACGGCCACAGTTCCTGGCTCCGAGTACGTCACCACCATCGACATGGCAGTCACCTCACCTGAAATATAAAATTGCCAATTTAGAAAACGAGCTTCTCTTCAAAATTACGAAGCCAGAGAATCAAAGCTGTGTAAAAACCGACACTAATTTGATCAAAAAAGCTGCGATTGTATTTCCATGCATTGCAAATGTTTGAGCCATTTAATATATATTTTAATTCAATTGCAGTGTAATTTTCAGACAGAAAAACGATTTCAGAAAAACCAATTAAGAAATATTGCAATTTGCCATGCATTATCTTGGCATTGAATCAATCAACAACAAAAATGTGCAAAACAAAAATCAAATTGAAGATCAATTAATGTAGAATTTTCTTGCTAAAGCTAAACATGCCTTCAATTAGGTGAGATTTCAGATCACTTACCTAAAAGGCACATTAATAGGCTTACAAATGATCAACTAACTTAAAAAGGATTCACAAATTAGACAATTGATATTTTAAATTTGTCTATTTGCTTGGAAAATGGAAACGTTACAATATTAATAAAATTGTGTGCTACTGCAAACAAAATAATTGTGTGCCTTTGTATTTTCCATAATGCATAGCAAACCTATTTTGCTCATTTTGATTTTAGATTTTTTAGGGTATACCTCCTTTTATGCACTAAATTTATGATTCCCCTAACAGCCTACCACATTTCAGTGTCATTGCACACATGAACACCATTTTTAAGTAAAATTCCACAGTTTTTCCATATCGATTAACGAATCCTAACGCATCAAAACAGTTTACAAAACTTGATGTTACTCTCACATAAGCGGTTTTAAATTCAATTAGTAGATAATTCACAGCCAAAGGAGGGACTAGAGTCCACTTTCACATACACTGCACAAAAGAAGCACTAAAGAAGAGGCAAAATATTAAGCTATGTGGTTAGTTTCTTGATTTGATCAGCAAGACTTAACATATCAGCAGTAGTTACAGGAAACCTGACAGATTGCAAAACGCGCCCAAACACTGACTATCTAAACATTTGGTCATCTCAATTTACCTTTAAAAGCCCTCAGCTTAGTAAAATATCTTTTTGTTACAAAAGTATCTCTGGAATAAAAAAATTAGGATTTTATTGCAGCTTTGCTGTTCTTTCATGGAAAACGAAATAAGAGTGCCAGAAGCTTATTTGATGCTTAAAATTGGCAGCAACTGTTACCAGAGATCATTACGAGTCACTGTCAATCGGGCCTACAGTTGCCGAGTAAGTGACACATGGCCACTGTCAGACAGGGCTAAGTCGCATCTCGATTGAATTGCATGGAGCAATCGGGGCTTCGTTTTGGTATGAGAAAGGAGTGTCTTGGTACGCACCATTAATGGAATGTATTGAAGGGGTGGTCTTGCTTTGATGAACAAGATTATGGGTTGAGCCACCTATTTCGCTAGGGCCACTGCCGAGACTGGCGGATTGGCTGATGCCATTCTGCAATAACAAAATAAACCCCACTTAGAACAATTTCATACCATTTTTAAATAAAATACTAAGAATTATGAACAAGTTTCAAAAAAGCAAAAGATCAAGGGAGAAAATTTTAGATATTTTAAAGTAATAAAAACAACAGTAAAAAATACAAAAACAATTTAAGAGGCAAACAAAAAAGTGCCCTAAATTAATTTACACTGGATAAAAAAAATTTATAGAAAGGTAGGGAGGATAATATTTCCTAATTTATTATTACAAGAAGTATCATTATGGCAAATTGTTATAATAAACATATTAAAGTGTTATTAAAATGTCACTATACCGTTGGTTGCGATGTTTTTACAGTTCCATAGGTTTTGTTTGCAATGATCACATCATCAGCATTGTGAGCAATACTTGCCGAGTATTCTGGTGTCACTTCACCTCTCCTGTCTAATATTTTTTCAATAATTAAAAATGAGAGCAAGATACAGGATCGATTAATTACCTATTAGACTGGGAGGAGTTGGCCCACAGAGGACATACATGCAGTTGATGCAAAAATTCCCTTGGCTATAGGGGTTAAAGCTCTCTTGACCCCTCCTTTTGCTGAATGAGCCTTTTATCTACAAAAGTGCTTCGCCATTAGAAATGTTTAAAAAATAAAGTTCAAGGAAATCTTACATCTTCGTTAGTAGTTTGATTTGAAGACGTGAGGTAAGTGTGGAATCCAGCCAGGCCCAAAACACTCCACACGCTGAAGAAGCAAATGACAGCCGAAATAATACTGCCCGGTGATTCTTTGATTGCGTCCAAGAATTGCTTCTTATCTTTAGTCACTGTAAAGGCAAGCGGTAAGAAAATTTTGCTATGACACATCCTTAAAACTCACATAAAATTAAGTGAGTAATAGAGCAAGCAAAGATGAAGACACAAAGAAACGCCAATGACACGATGAACAGGTAAAAGTAGCGATAGTTCCTTTTGCCCACACAGTTCCCAACCCATGGGCAATGATGGTCAAAGCGCTCTGGAAATGAATTCAAAATTTTATTATTTACTTCAAGTTGCGAATGAATTTCAATCCTACCAACGCAATTGTCACAAACGCTACAGTGTGATGCTCTTGGTGGGCGGAAAATTTTACAAGTGAAGCAATACTTCAGTTTGACAGTCTGGCCCTTAATTTGTATCTCTTTGGTGCGTGGAGGAGGACGATACGTCGGAGAGTTTGCATTATTAGGGACCTCTGAAAAAAATCATCATAAATAACGAATTCATGATAATCATTTAAAAGTTGTAATATAATTAAATTGAGGCATACATAAAACTTGAACTGAATATTTTTTAGCATTAGAACTTTAGCAGTAAAATGTGTAGGATGTGTGGTATAAATAATTTCATTGATAAAATGAGGATATTTTTAAATTTTATAATGCGTGAGACACTTTAAAAAAGTACAGCTACAAAGAACTCTTATCATTCTGTATGGAAGTTTTTGAGATAACCTCCATTTTGTTAAAATATTTTTTCTTATACAATTTTTATTTTCAGTTTTTTCAACCAGCTTCTTGAAAATATTAAAGAGTTTACTTAATGAATTTATTAAAATCGTGCTTTTCAAGGATGATTTATCAGAGATCAATCAATTTCATGATATTGATGCTTGCTAGAATAAGTTAGAATGCTTTAAATATAAGCAGCATAGGTTGGAATTTAATTTCAAAGTACAAGTAAAATAAGGAAACTTCAAGGAATTATAAAAATAAATTATTCATAAGAGCGAATAAAATTATTTATGCTAACCAATGCTCCTCTCAATATCTGCAGCTTCTTCTGGAGTGGCCCTTGGAATGACCCCTGGGTCGCTAAAGCTGGTCCTGAGCAGAGCGGACAGGACGAACACAAAGAGAAGACTGCCGACAATCGGAACAGCTGGCGTGAGGTTCATAGCCAAGAAGGGACAACTGAAAATTCAAAAGATTTTTTTTAAATTTATTTGAAAATTTTTTTTCTTTAAATTAAAAAAAAAATTGACAGATACCCGTGACAATATTGTATCTGATTTTAAATAATTCAAATAATTTTTGGATGTTTTTTAATGGATTTTAATTTTCAATTACATAAATTGTTTTTTTTTTACTTTTTAAGTGTTAAAAATTTTTCAAGTTTGAAGTATAAGTTTACGTCAAGTACCAGGTACTGGGCGGCACCCTGAGGTGATGCTCATATAGCAAGACCTTGAAATCCTTTTCACTCTCTTTTCTCAATATTTTATCAGTAGCACTCAAAAAGGAATAATAGATTAAAAACCGAGTGCTCTCTCCAACTCTAATCAGTATTTCTATGGTCACAAGTCATCGGAAGGTGAACCCTGGGCGGCACCAGGGTACACCTAAATTAAGGCGAGGCTGACTCACTCGAACACGAAGAAAAGGGTGCTGGTGCCGACGATCAGAGTGAGGGTGACGTAGAAGACACCCGTGTGTGGGGCCATCATGACTCGGCCGTCGCAGCAGAACTTGTTGCGACCAGGGAACACTTGCCATTTCCTTGTGACCCTCGAGGCCATCGTTCGCTCGACGTCTCACACAGCAGCGGACATGGACCGGACGACGGGCGGATCTGCAATCGATCACTCGAACGGCGTTCGGGCCGATTTCTTGCGCACGAAACAGCACCAAGACATGCTCTCCGTGCTGATTATCTCCTGCCAGATAACCATCTTGATAATCTACGCCAGCATTTCGCAAATTTCTACACTTTGTTTACGAAATAATGGCTCTGTTGTCTTCTTTCCTCGGGCGAGCGGAGTGCAACAACCAGCAACCAGCCGAGCAATCCAATCCAGCAAAACCCCAAATCGTTCGCCGTCTTCCCACTTGCGCCACCTTGGCCAAGATTTCGGTATTACTTACAGCGACGTGAAGCTTGCTACAAAAGTACAACAACGATGCATTATAGTGTTGGAGGCATCGCGGCCAGAGCTGGCCAGAGCGCGCCAGTTTCAAATTTAGGTGTAGTGTTTACAAAAATCACGTGTGTGCGAATGTGCGTTCGATTACGATGAGTTTGGAATTCGAAAAAATGAGTGAATTGGAACCTAATCAGCAGATTTTGAAGTCAAAAGTGAAGGATAAGGACGATAACTTCAAACTTAAGGGTATTTTATCTTCAATTTTCTTTTGAAAAAGGGTTGGATTTGAAGGAAAGAGGAAAAGGTCACTCCCCTTTTGATGCATTGATTTTTTATTTTTTTTTGATGTAGAAACATTCAATGCAATTTTTTATTTCAGCTGGAATTTTCCTTGGTGGCGTTTGTGGCATGTCAGCCTTGTTCGGATTCAGCACCACCCTGGCCGCATCCAAGAAAAAAGACCCTGAATTTTTTGACAAAGGTCTCACCCGACACACAATGGGCAACAAGGGTGTACACGAGGCAGGAGCCACCCTTGCAATGCGGGCCCTTGGTTGGGGGACTTTTTATGCCGTCACGGGCTGTGGAGTTCTTTTCTACTCCGTTTGGAAAATGTTAGGTGTTAACAACGTGAGTACCAACTTCTTTAATTTAACATTTTTATTTACTTTTTGTGTTAATTATTAATTTTGTTTTTGTTGCCAATTTGCGAAAGCCTTGCCTCTTAAACTAATTGGAGCCGTATATAACAGTTCAGCTTTTGCATGGAATAATAATTTGAATATTATTAATTATTATTTTTATCAGCATTATTACTTATTTAATTTCATTTCATTTAATTTGACATTCCCTCAAAGTATTTTTTCTCTAAATTTATAACTTCAAAATTTTAGCTCCACGAATTCAGAATGAAAATGGGAAACATACTTCCACGGATACCGAAAAATGATCCGCCGCAAGGAAGAACTGAGTTTGAAAACTTAACAGACTTGTTGAGATATGTGAGTGAAGAAGGCAGCAAGAAAAAAGAGTAAAAAAAAAAAAAACTAGCTGCATTGAAAAGGAAAAAGTTTTAAACTATAATGCATGTTGTGTAGTTACAAGTGCTGTGATGGAATAATTTATTGACTTTGAAACAAGTGAACACATTTAATGACATAGTCGAATTAAATTACAGATGGAATTATAAAACATTTAGAGATTGTTTACAAAATTTATGATTCATTCGTATTTCAAGCGTCCTGATTGATATCCGTTCCGATTACAAAATTGTGCAGGCCTTTGACTAAAATAGAAGAATGAGTAAATAATATTAAAAAAAATTATCATATTTAACCTTTTTAACAGCTGTCAAGAGATTTCCAGTGCTACTGGACATTGCTTTAGCCTGGTCTGTAATTTACAAAATTAGATTTTTATTTTAAAACATTTTAAATTGCTGCCCTACCATTAAGCGCTCCGTCTCCATCTGTAGTCTTCTCATTCAGGTGTAGTAAGGACTTGACCTTCCTTATGTTGCCTCCAAAAAACTCCGAGATTTTCCCTCCAATCGCCTGCATCGTTTGTTTTGCTCCCATGTGGACCTCGTCAATGACACCCTCAGCCTTACCAACTATTTCCTTCACTATTGTCTCCTCCATGGCCTCATCTTGAGGCTCTGGCATTTCAGGCTAGAAATTTTTTAGGCATAATTGATTGTTTCGTTAATTCTGTTCAAGTTAATTACCTCAGGTGTTTCCATTGGGCTCTCCCTTACGGGCGTCTCCTCAGCTTCTGCAACAACCTCTTCACTCATTGCTGCAGGCTCCTCGGACTCTTCAGCAGCTGGACTTGTGTCCTCACCGCCCTCGGCAGGGTCCTGAGGTTCATCAGGGATCATGCCTGGCAGCATCTCGTCTTCATTTTGCGTCATTTCCGGGGCTTCGTTTTCCATATTCTCATTATCAGACATCATGGCTTTCACCTCCTTTAAAGATTTTATTTTATTTATTTAATTATACATATTGAATAAATAAATTATTTCCATCTCAATCGAATTGATCATACATTACAAGAATAAAGCTTAAATAGATTTTTTTTTAATTCGAAAATTGTATTTATCTCTAAATCTTAATTCAAAAATGAAAATAATTCCCAAAGAACTACTTCGCACTTTCAGGGGTTGAATGCAATACAGCACGTCAGACCACAATTGATTAGCCACTGGCTATTGCCAATATTTCTCAAATAAAAAGTATCTGGCAATACCAGTAGTGCGGCAGATTTGCCTTTATTTTTCAAATAAGGGTGTCTCGGGTTCATTGCCCAGATACTTTTTATTTGAGAAATATTGGCAATAGCCAGTGGCTAATCAATTGTGGTCTGACGTGCTGTATTGCATTCAACCCCTGAAAGTGCGAAGTAGTTCTTTGGGAATTATTTTCTTTTTTGAATTAGAATGTCAGGGGAGTGTTTTCCTTTCTTGGATTAGAATTATCTCTAAATCTTATCTATTTTTTTTAGTTTTGACTCTAATTATTACAATTATTACTTCAAATTAACACCAATTTACACATAAATTAAATTACTGCTCTGATTAAGGAGTAGCTCAAGAGCTTTTCTGGAGCAAAAATCACGGTTGCTGATAACAACAGGGTGTTGCATTCAGGCTGGTCGGTCAGTGAAAGGAAATTAGGACGCGCGGGCTTTTCCGCGCTTTTTTAATTTCCACTTGAAAGGGGTCAGGCCAGATTATTATCTCATCACGTGTTGGACGAGTATTGCGTGACCCTTGCACAATGGCTCCTCACCTCTGTGGTCTGCGCTGAGGGGGTGGGTGACGGTGCTTCGTTGTCAGCCAGCGGGCTGTCCGAATCGCCTGGAGTCGCCATTTCCAGCTCCAGTTCGTCGTCCTGCAGGACCATCCCTGCTTTCCAAATCGGTTAAGATTATCCCCTTCTCTGAAATCAAAGTAATTTTCCCAAATAAAATACAACACCATGTTAATTTCTTTATTTTAATTTGTTACATATCATTTAAGTCAATCCGTAGATTAAACTTAAATAATATGATTTTATTTTCTACCCATTTGAGTAAAACTTTTGACTTGGTTAAAAAATTTCACAGAAACAATTAGTATTTTTCGCGACTTAACTTAAAACTTAATATGAAAAAAAAACAAAATCAAATTTTCTTAGAAATCGCCACACATCATATTGGAATATCATTTTGATATTCTTTTTCAATCAATTATTTAAAATTATATATTACTATAAAGCACAAAATCATCAAATTCGTGTGAGTGGAAGAAAATTTTCAATTTAATTATTAATTTAAACAAATTAAAATGCGTCTAGACCTTATTAAGTTGCAAGACGAAAAATTTTTGTCGTTAATATAAATATGCAAATGAGGCCTTTGAAGTGCAATAAATAATAAACCGGTAGCAAGAAATTTCTCGTTACACAGTGACGTAAAATGTTATCGCAGGCTCATAATTATTATTTCGAAAGTTCTTGTAAGTCGAAAGTTATGCAGCCAGCGCGGCACGCGGATAAAACCGGTTGCATATATTATTAAGAAACAGGCGTCGAGAGCGAAAATAAAACCACCCTCGGACGATTGCGCGTAATTAAACCCTATCGTATTTTTAGAATTCGCTATCACACAATGCCGACGGCCAAAATTAGCCAAACACCCGATAAATCTTCCGGTCAGCACTGCTGTTGTGCGTCATTTGTGTAGCTTTTGCCGTGCGCGTCTCCAGGAGGAATAGTTGTTGCGTGACTCGCGGGCGCGGAGAAAAAATAGAACGGGATCCATCATAATCACTATTTGCCGTTCTTTTATAGTCCTGCCGCTTCCGTGGCCTTTGAGAGGGAGGATTTCACTACGTTGGGTCCGATCTGATTTCTACAGTAGCGTCAAGTTTTGAAGTTTAAAAAAAAATCAATAAATAAAGTAAAGATTACAAATTTCTTATCATCTCTAACGAAAAAAATTTGCAATGGGTACAATTTTAAAGTTTATAATTAGAGGCAAACATAAAAAAAATATTTTATTCTGCTTCTTCAAAAGGAAGAATTGCTAAATATAAAAATATTCATCTTATTGATAGTCATCTGATTTAATATCACATAAATTTTCAAAATTTTATGTTTTGAAGCAGTTTTTTAAAAATATATTTTGAAATGTTCTCTTTTTACAGTTGTTGCAAACTTAATTTTGCAAACCTTTACAACCATTCATATTTTTGAATAAATTTTATATTTACATGTTTTAGGCCAAAGAAACAGTTATTTGCCCGGAAATTATCGCCGCATACAAAATTTTCTTAAAACTACTCCCACTGATTTTAAAATTTTCAAGAATTTCCGAAATAGTTTTGATTGCAGAATTTACTTTGTTTATTTTTTTCGTAGTAAATCACGCAAGATAAATGGAGGGCGATCGTGAGGAATCTCCCGCGGAACGCCAAATATAAATAAATAATCAGAAAAGCTCAACACGACTCTCTTGGTTAGAATGAAAAACCCCTTCGCTTTTTCTCCTCCAAGTTGCTGAAAGAACAACAAAGCTCAAAACTCTCGAAGGAAAGCTTTCAGCCGTTTCTCGACAACCCGTTCTGCTGAATTTTAACACCACTTTGCAAATTAATCACGCGTTTCGCGACGCAAGTTTCGGACGTCAGTTATTTAGGGAGCGTGAGATTTGTATCTCGCCGCTTTCGCTTTCGAACAATCTAGAGTCGACAAAGCAGGTTATCTAAAAAAGATCTACGACCAAGAGTCATTTTTTCCTCAGAAAACTTAACTTACTTACTGGAGCACGCAATTTTTGGAACGAGAAGTAATATAATAGGGGCATATAAATGATAAGATCACAAGCCACGCTGACCGCTGACCCTAACCTTCAAGTGGCAGTTTTGTATCTAAAATCTGGCCAGAAAAAACATTGATATCGCCTAGTATTGCCATAAAATAGAAAAACCTGCGGGGAACCAATAAAACTAACAAATAAGAATCACAAAATTAATAAAAAAAAAACCATGAAAAGCCCTCTTTTTTGTGGCTTGTATTATATTTTACTTAATGAATGAGTTAATATTCTAAATCGGTATAATTGATTTTAGCTCTAATTGAAAATTGCATAATAAAAGATTTTAATTCACTTTAAATAAATACTGAAAAAAACTTGTGTTAGATTAAAAAATTTTGGTAAATTATTTGAGAAAATTTTAATAAAGATTTTTGAAGAATTTGAAAATAATTATTTTTTGTTTTAAATGAAAATGTTAATATCAGTTCCATAAAAAAAATTTATAGACACAAGTGAACTCAAAGAAGAAGTAAAAATTAAATGAAATTCATAAAACTACAAATTATTCATACCAAATTTGGAGAGAAATAGTGGGTGTCAAAAAGCGATGCACGCGGTGTGAACTTTTCTTGTGTCAGGCCGAGCAGCAGGTCTCTCGAGCCCTGACGCAGACTGACTGACGGTGCGTGCAGCCCAGAGTGGGGTTGGTGCACCCTCCAGCGTTATACATATCGACCCCCAGCTTGCGCGCCCCCTCATTACGTTATACACACTCGAAGAAAGGAGCTTGACCATTAGCGAAAGGCGCATGCGATGGGAAAATTACCCGCGCGATGTTTATTGTCCGGCGCAGAAAAAAAACGCAGAGGTCAAAGGTCAGGAGACAATGACCACCGGCCAGGGCATGGCACAATTTATTTAAGTCTTGAGCAGTCGCGACGCCTGGCAAAAAATCGTAATAAAATCCGCACTTGGGAAGTCACGCGACGCTTTTCGCGCGAGCTGATTAATTTTTCGCTCCCCGCCGAGGTGAAAAAGCCAACTGCGCGTCGTTCATTTCATTAAGTGGGAAATCGCTTGCTTTATAAGGGCAGGCAGAAATTTGACATTACATAATTCTAATCCAAGGTCGGACATTAATATCTTGAAAGCAAAAGTCACGGGACAAGAAAAATATTAAATATTTTTTACAGCAGTTTTTCATTATGTAACTTTATTAAGAAAATCCGGAAATTTTTAAGCTTCGAAATGCAAACAAATATGTGATTAACACAGTGACCCCTTTCACCACTTTCAAGTGCTATGTGGGGGCCAAAATCACCACAGCTTCATCTAAAAGCTAAAATGATAATTTCTGACTACCGCGTTATCTATTATTTAGGCATTAAAACAGCGAGGGTCAGAATTTTGTTGCGTGTTGCGTGTGAAAGTCAACAAAGCTATAGAAACGCATACCAGGGTCTGAATTGCGTTGCTATTTGTGTGATTTGCAACGCTAACAACGCAACCTGTGCGCAATAGGTTGATGTAGCAGATTAAAAAATAAATTAATTGAGAGTGTAAATGTATATTGACTTATTGAAACGTTTGTCGACTGTCCATTTTTTTCTACTCAGTTCTGTTTTCATCACGAGGAAATTCACTAAAATTAAAAGTAATTATTTTAAATGACAATTTTGCTAAAGGTTGCGCAAGTAAAAATATTTTTGAAATTAAATTATTATATTGTAGTTTCGCCACACATCATCCTCTGCCTTCGTAAAAAAATCACACTGGTGAATTATAATAATCATCTGGGCGCGTCACTGCTGAAAAAAGGCACTCGAGCGCCCGACTCATTATACTCCGTTGACGTATGCATAATTCTGTATCACATGAAACAATCTCACTGCTGAAATTTCTATCGCCAGCCCCATCATTACTCTTGCCTGTGTACGTGTAAGAGACGAGCATGAGACTGCTAAATTATCCACATACCCAGAATCGATTTTGGCGTTGCTTATTCAAAGCAGACAGTTCACCGACCCCTTTCGGACAAACACTTGTGCATAAATTATGCAATTTACGTCATAATGCATGCCGCACGGAAAAATAATGCGGAAAATGGGTTAAATCGGGTACATTTGAAAAAAATTAAATTATTTTACACGTTGAGTTTTTCGCATAATCAAGTAAATCATAATTAATACGAATATTAACATAAAATTATTAATAATAATCCTTTTTGGCTGAAAACACTTGTTGTTTGGCAAGTAAAAAAATATTCCATATTCACCTATTTAATTTTGAAATGGTAAAAGAAAATTCTAGAATGAGACAATGCTTAAGCTGTGTGTCTCTTACCACTTGACTGACACGTATTTTTTTTTACGTCCGCGTGACATTGAAGAAGGGGTTTGTGTTTGGAGGCTGTTTGCGAAAAGAACTTCTCGCCGGCGTGGCCCTTACCTTGGTGTCGGAAGAACCGTGGCCAAGCAGACAATGGTGCTATTTTTAATTCGGTTCGACAACAACAAAATTGAACTCGAAATTGCAAAGAGTTAAATTCAGCAAATGCGTAGCAGGAGAAATAACGAATTGCTCCATTCTGGTGGCAATCGCTTTTTTCGCGGATCGTTGGGGTTGTAAAAATAGCAAGGTGAGTTCTTGCCGCTCTTTTCTGGCGTGAGTCACTCAATTTTGGCCTCTGCGCTGGAGAAGAAGGATTCATTTGGCTCGCGCTCAGAAATATTTGACGCTAGATTTGTGAAGCGGCTGCATTTCGCGCGGAGCTCAAAATTTGAGGCTCGCCGTCGGGCAAGACACTGCTAATTACTCATGACTGGTTATTTTGGTGAAGTACGATTTCTCCTGCCAACGTGGCCAGCAGCAAACATTGTGCTGAGTTATTTGATAAATACAGCTTCCTCTACCATAGAAATTACTCCTTTGTTTTTATTCAAGATAGGTTCAGAAAATGCTTTGTAATTATCTGGCGAATGTTGTAATTTTATTGAACAATTTAATTGCCAATATTTTAAACTCACAAATTCCTTTGAAATTTAATTTTAGATCAATAAAATAAAATTTTACAACACTATTTTTTTTGTCTCGCAGCTTGTTAATTTATTATTATTATTTTTTTTTTTTTTAATTTTTAGGCTGACTAAACAAATTCATAAGTAATTATTTTATTCAGATTTGAACAATTTGCAATACTTGCACTGTGAACTGAACGTATTAAGACAAATAATTCAAATTCAAAGTAAATTTAATGATGTCGGTGATGACAAATGAGCCGTCGAATCTATTTTGCATAGCAGTAATTTGCATCTCTTCACCAAAGCATCATTCTTGCGGCGCGCTCGGAATTTGTGATGGATCTGCGTCTGGAGTGGAGCCAAAAAGGCACGCTTCCCATGCAAACTCTCGCTTGAGCTTGCATTCCACAACAGCTGAATTCATTTTATTTATCACCATTTTCCTGCTGATGGTCTCGTTGGCGGCTGCTGGAATTCAGGTCAACGACCAATTAACAAACACTTTCGGCAAAATGCATCCTCTTCTCGCAATATTTCAAAATAAAAATTTTAATTGACACAAATTAAGAGGTTTGCATAATCAACAAATCAACACAGTTGGCGCTTGGGATTCCCCCGAATGAAACAAAATTTCGTTTCTCTAGACGGATTTTTTTACTTCACAATTTAAGCAAAACCTCCCCTGACGACCGAAGCAAAACGAAATGCCGTTCGCTTGTTCATTAGCTGATTTAAAAATAAAGAGCCGCGAGAGTTGAAAGCAAGAATTGAAGGAAAAAGCGGCGCTGTTTGTACCGAAGAAAATCCATCATTCGCGTGTCGCGCGGGCCAGCCAAACAAAATCAGAGACGCACGTGGGAAACCAGGGGTGGAACAAACGCGGGCGAATGTTGGGGATCGGGGCTCAATATAAAAAACCGCACATCGGCGAAATCGCTCTCGGAATGCGATTGTGACGTCAATGGTGCGTTTTTAAAAGGCCCCTTCGTTTCAATTTAATGGCACTGCCGGCCGCGCAGATTGGCTCCTTTTGTCACCAAACCCTCTGTGTTTATTTGCGCAGGCAGTGAAATCATGAATAAGAGAGGTACGCCGGGCTAAACTTGGATTGCTGCATTCTCAGGCTGGGCGTGATTTTTTAATTCATAAATGTGACCTTCGCTTGACTACCATTGTTTTGTATCCAAAATTTTTCTTATTCGTTTTGCTTGGGATTATTTTGGCAAAATGAAAATTTGTTGCTTTTTACATTCATTTTCATTTTGAAGTTTTATTTGACGTACAAAATAAATACACTTTTGTGATAAAACCACGCACATGCAAAAATTTTAAAGATGCACAATTCTGAAGTAATCATTTTTATGTCTTGGAATGGAAAAATTAGGAAACCCGCGCTCAAAGAAGTGATTTAAAGCTGCCATGCATAATGCGCGCTAGATTTCAACAAAAAAAAAATAGTAAAAAGAGATCAAACAAAAAATAAAATTCATACATTCAAGTAGTGAGTGACTGGCCTTTGTTTTGAGATTAAAGTGGATCTTTTCACGAAGCAGCAATAACTTCACTTTCATAATTTTGATAAGAAGCCTATTGCAGGGATTCACTTCTACAATGGCCCTTTTTGAATGGACTTTGACTTTTAACAGAAATCATCTCTTGAAATGTGTCCTATTCTGAAATTTGTAGATCTATTGCAATAATTTTTCCAGTTAAATTATTGGTGTCAAAATGATAAAAGAACGGTTTTTAAAGCTGTTGTACCGAAAACATTAACAGAAAATGTCTTCCTTTTTTTAATAGTGACTTGTTTCCACTTAAACTGTTTTAAGCGAGTTTACTTTTTTCAGCCAGACCAGTTCATTCATAAGGTATGTTTTTCAAATGTGACGCCGATTCATGTTAATCTGGTTGTAGATCCATTATTTTGTTTGGAAATTAATTATAAAGAAGTTGCTGTTTTTCAATACAAACGCATTGCAGGCAACAATTATTGCCTCTTTTATATCGTTAATTAAATTAATTTCAATTTGAGCTCAATTTTTATTTTAGCCTTTAGAAATGTAAGGAATTGTAAAAGTTGCTCACCAAGTTAAATCAAATTTGGCAGTCACAGTTGAAAAACATACCTTTTGGGATGACACTAAACTATATAATTAGATCCTTATCAACAAATTGTGCCCTCACACCAACTCCTTCCTGCACTTTCTGCAAATCGCAACCAGACGAAAAAAGTCCACAAAAAATGCCTTTAGCAGTTCCTGGCCAACGAGACGTTGCGGTAGTTGCGTTGGAACCAAACCATCTTCTGGTAGTCGACCTCGTAAACGTCCGGGATTTGCGTGCCGGCCGCCTCGTTGTAAACCATGGACACGGTTTCGCGGCCGAGCAGCCGCAGCTCGAGGTCGATCAGTTGGCGGAAGAAACCGGTGTTGGGTCGGACGGCGGGTCGGACGCTGCGCAAATGGGCAAAGGCTTTGCGCAGGGTCATCCGTTGGTACTTCATCAGGTAGGCTAGGCACAGGGAGGCACTTCTGCTGACGCCCGCTGTGCAGTGGATCAGCACGCAGCCTCCCTTTTGCCGAACTTCCTCGACCTGTGAACAAAATTTGAATGTTTCAAATTTCAAGTTGAATATTTTATAATTTTTTTTAACCGCAAATTATATTTAAAATATTTACAAGATCTTTCCCAAAAAGTGGGATCCATTAATAAAATTCCCCTAAATTATACTCATGATTTTTTCAACCAGTAATGAATTGAGTGAATTGTACTTCAATTAAAAAAAAAGAACTATTCTTTGCCTTTTTTAAATAAATAATTGGCTTATTCTCAAGTTGAGCAACAAACTGTCATTTGTTTACTCTTTTCACATAAAACAAAAGCTTCTAGTGGGTATCCCAGAAAGAAAAGGTCTTTTATAAAACTCTAAATTAAATAGAACTAAAGCTACTTTTGGCAACATTAATTTATACCTTATCAGCAATGGCGTCGAAGTACAAGCTCAGGTCAACCCCTGGCGAGTCTAAAACGGCAACTCTAATCACGTCAATTCCGTCCAAGGGTAACAGGGGCAGTTCCGAGGTTGCATTCACGATGCACGTCACCCTCAGGGCATTCAGGCTCTGCATTCTGACGGCGTTGGCGCCGCAAAGGTACAGCCAGGGCGTCACTTGGGCGATCGCGGAGTTCGGAACCACCGACGGTTTGTTCAGGTTTCCACTGAGGACATAGAAAAAGTACAATTGTTATGAATTTATATTTACAGCCAAGGTTGTTTGAGACAATTGGACTGGCAGTCGAATAAACACCAAACTCTTGTGCGCAGTAACTATTTTTGTGAGTGAGTCTTGCTCGGCAATCTTCGAAGCAACAATGTTTATTTTCTCAACTTGCAAACTCCTCTGCGCGATTCGGCTATTTCTATCGGACCAAGTTCAAGATTGAAAGGAGTTTGAACCTTACCACATTGCACGCAGCAAAGGATACAAGAAAAACTTATTCATGAAAAGGCTAAAAAAATTAATAATTTTTGAAGAAAAAATAAATTCAAATTAAATGAGACTTGATTTTAGTTTATCGTGGTAGATAAGAAAAAATAATGATAAGCTTTTGCCGGTAATCAATTTACGATATGAATTATTTTCACTTAACAGAATTATTATATTCCGTCACAAAAACATCGAACTTAAAAAACTTTGAATTATTTTTTATATGATGAAATTCGAAAGCATTCATGGTGAATTTAAATAAAATATTTAAAGTAAACTAAATTCTCACTTGAAAAATTAATATTTTGACATGAAAAAAGTAAATATAATTAAAATAAAACTAACTTTTCTTTGTCATCATCCTGGACTTCAGAGTTAAGAGGATCGTTGTTGGAGTTGGTGTCGATCCTATTTCCCATTATGATTTTCATCTTGCAGAACACTTGCGTGCAAATCCACGATAGATTATTTGTTTGAGAGGGGAGCGTCCTCACGGACTGCGATTCAAAGCGCGACTGATTCTGCGAGGGACAATCGTCTGGACCAGAGCATGCTCATCCGAGGCGGCGCGCATGCGGCGACATGGTGTTGTTGGCGCCCAAGGCCTGTACGTGGGCCAAGAATTCGGCAGGGTATTCCAGCAGCGGGACACCTGTTCCGCACACACGATTTACTCGTCATTACACTTAATTAAATGCGACGTTTGCCAACCAAGCTAACGTGCTCCTGGAAATTCGCTTTTGGCTTAAATGTGCCTGATAATTTAGCGTCGAGATTCTCATAAATAAGTTCAAGGATGCTGGGACTGTTTACTTTCAATTAATTTTAAAAAAATTAAAGAAAACTTGAAACATGTGAATAATTTAATTGACCTGACTAACATTATTTTACACTTTGTTAAGTGCAACATTTATACAAAAAGTCTTATAAATTATGATATTTTTTTTTTTAATAAAAAGGAAAAATTTAGACTGAAATTATTAAATTTATGTAAAAAACAAAAGTTTTTTTTTTACAAATTTTATCATTTTCAATATTTAATTATGTATACATGCAAAATACTTACCCCTGTAACAAAAACACTCAGTCGGTATCACCGTGTTGATTCCGGCTTCAATAACAGTGGTGATTAAAATCAGGTACAACAAGTACGCTACTAAAATCAGCAGCGAACTTAAGTTCTGATCCTTCTCGTTCAGGAGAGGCGCGATTTCTAAGTGTCGGCACGTGAATAAGCAAACGCAGTTGATCAGAACCAGCTTGAGCGCGCACGACCCCAGAAAAGCCAATTTCGATTTGTAATAACGGCACGAGCAAAGCATTATTTTTTCTTTCAAGGATTTCTTTTAACGCAAGTGCCAAAAACGGAGGTGCGGTACCATCTCGTGGAAAGTTTGCGCAGATATGCCGATTCTGTGTGGTTTTCCTGGCAAAGAGGGATGATTTTCGTGACGTACCACAGGACACGCACGCCGAAAGTGCCTTCTGCTGTAATAATAACTGTTAAACCGCTGTTAGCTCAAGAAATTGGACGGTAACATGCGATATTAAAAATGAATGGTAATGGACGCTTGCCGGGAACACCATAAAATTATTCTAGGAGATGCTTTGGATTTTACAGCACTTAATTAAATTTTACAACGTTGTTGAATTTACACAATTTAATAATTAATATTCTTCTAAACCTCGTCTTCATTCTATTTATATTTAAAATTGTTTTCCATTCATTTCTAACTTTGGCAGATATATTTTAATCAAATTATTTTGAATCAATAAATATCTTTAAATAATAAAAAATTGCCAAATTTAAAAATTTTACAGATTAAAGTTCTGTGATTTATATAAAATTATTTTTGGCTCTTTCTGAAATCAATCATCGATGGTTATTTAATATTTTACTGTTAGTCTCAAGTCTTGACAGAGTGCAAAAATACCACCTGCTCAACTTAATTGTTAGAATTTACTTAAAATAACACACACAAAAAACGCGATTTCTTCCAAGCTTGTGAGCTCTCCGAAAATTGTTAACAAGGTCAAAAATTTCAAGCGAAATGCCGAAATGATATGTATGTAAAAATTAACCAGAAGTGACCTTTTGCAAACAGTAAAATGAAGAGAAGCAGCAAACATTTGTATCTAACGTAATATTGCTTTAACTTTGATAAAAACCTCTAATCGACTGACAAAATAATGAATAATTTTTATACACAAAATAATTAAATTTTTTGTAAGGCGTTGCTCGACAGAGTTTGACTTTTTACGCTGCTCAAAATTACTTGAATTACAGCCAACATATATTTGAACTCCCAACATTTTGCTAATCCACCTTGAAGCACGCGTGATATACAGCGCTTTTTTTGCTTTAAGAAACGCTGAATGAGTCCTTAGATGTGTCCCCGCAACGTTTTTGCCGGGCGAAACAAATAAATAACCAGAGGATTCACAATTTACGAGGGTAATTTAAACAGTAAATTAAGCTCTCCACCCCACGGCGCCGCGCAAGAGAGCCCATTTGATCCAGACGAAAAAGTCTTGTGATTAAAACCAGCAAGTTGCAGACCCTCGAGAGTCATTGACCACCGAAATGGATTTTGTAATTACAGCACGCGACGATAACGAGCGAGAAAATAAAACGAGCATGTGCGCATTAAGTATAAGGAAAGTTAAAACGCAGAACAACAAATGGGACTCGAGGCTTAAGGAATTTGTCAACGCGGCGTGACTTTCTTGCTTTTTACAGAACGAGAAGAAAGAAAATTCCTGCGGCTCTATTTTTGCGCGGTGTTTTGCCAGGATCGCGACTGCTTTTATAAATAAAAGGCGGCCACACATTGTTTTGGTGGCGCCGAATGGTCCTTTTGCTGCTCGTCACCTCCCGCTGGCATTTATCTCTTCCAGACGCAGTAACTTGTGGCCCACAAATTCCACTTCGCCTCGCAGATGGATTTGCTTGCCTCTTGCATAATGTGCTGGCGACGTGTGTTAAGTTTCAACGGCCAGACACAAATCATCCAGATGTCTGCCACGGAGGAATTTTGGCGTACTTTCCGCTTCTTACTAGTCAAAATAATAAGCCACTTGGTCTAAATATTTGCTTTAACTCATTGAGAAGCTAGAAATTAAATTTAACTATTTTACAGAAATTTAAAAAATATATAAATAATATATTCAAAGTTGCTATTGGCTGGCTAGTAATTTTCTGGTTAAACAATCTTTTTTAAAAGAAATCATTGATATAAAATGTTAGGAATGCAGAAAATGAAATAAAATAATTCAGTCATTGATTTTAAGCACGGGAATAGAGAGTCTTTCTAAATTATTTTTCTTTCAAACCAAAATTGTGAATACAACCTAAATTAGACGTCAATTTTCAGGCGTTTTAAAAAACTAAAATTTAATTAATCTTCTTTGGTAAATCGTCTTTTAGCTAATATTTTTGCAAAAGACGTAGTTTGCTTCCGAAGCGTACAAAACTTTTAAAATCTGCTGAATCACAAAATATTGCACGCAAATTCTTTTTCCAAGGCAATCCATAGTTTCCACTGTTTTCTCCAAGTCTTCCTTCCATCTCATGAAGACGCGTCCTTCCTCCAGGTACTCCTTCAGTGCCAACCTGACTTGTGCAGAAATTTCCACCTGAAGTGACCATGGAACTTCAGCTTGCGTTGGCCAACGCTTTTCACAGGCTTCACAAACGCACTTGAAGCGAAATCGTGACTGCAGAACTTGCTTTCGTTCTTCAAAAGGATCGGCGATGAAATGAGGGCCGTACGAGTCTACGATTTGCTCTCCTTTCCTTATCACTCTGATTGCCCTCATGATTGAGTGACGACCATAGTATTGTTTTACCACGTTTTGGTCACAGGAGTGGTTTACTAGAGAAAGGGCTAAGAACACTCCAAGGGCTATTCCGTGATCAGAAAAATCTCTTCCACCGCAGTTGCATCTATTAAACAAAAAATAAACAGGTTGTCAAGTAGAAGCTGGTGGAAGTTTTTCAATAAAATTATCTTAAAATGTTCAAATTGAAATTTTAAAATATAATTAATCTAAAAAATTTAAAAACTAATTGATGTCTTGTAGATGTTATTTTTATACTTTGCATAGAATTTAAAAACAATTTATTTAAAATTCAAAATATCATATTTTATCACAATAACATGTAAATTATGAAGTTTGAGCTACTTATTTTGAATTTTAATAATGTTCTTTCAATTTACATTAGAGCAGCATGATAAAATTAAATTTCTGATTTTTGCTTTCGGAAGAAGCAAGTAAATTAAAGGCATCAGAGAAACCAAAACTTTGCGTAATTATGTTTTCATTAAATATAATTTAATGAAAAAAATTTAATATCCTACCAGTTTGTTTTTTAATTAAAAATTTTTTTAATTAAAAAGTAAATAATTATTTTACCTTTCTGAAATTTCATGCGAGATTAGAGGAATTCCTTGCAGGCAGCGCAATAAAAACGCAGAAAGGGCAACTCGCTCAGGGTGTTCATCTAAATTGCATATTTTCAAAATGACCAGAGCAGTCGTCACTTGCGCAAGCGTCTCCTCGAATTTCCAACTGCGCGGATCGCAGTAAGTTTGAAGGAACGAGTGCAGACTGTCAGACTCGAAACCCCTGAGATTTGCAGTGCCGCTTTGTGAAATCGCCTCCAATATTTTTTCGGGCTTGAATAGGCTTAGGATTCTGACGGTGAGCACATCCACCGGAGACAATCCAGCTGCCTCGAGGTCGCCCGCTATTTGGCACTCGAACGAGTGGTAAGCCGCCCAGGCCGACACTCGACATGAGTCACCGCAGTACAGGGCCTGAAGCAATAAATACAAAATTCATATTTTCTAACCGATTCAAACTTAGAATTGGAAATGCAGTAGATTTGAATTGGTTCAAACCGGTTGAATGGACGCGTTTAACATTTACATACCTGTGCGCAGTTTTGGCATGGGACCAAAATATGGGACTTTGTTAGGCAGTAGGAGCAGTGAGTGTACTTGCAGGACGAATAGAGCACGTTGGCCAAAGGCAACTCAATGCCAACGACACATCCTACCAAAAATGTTGCAAATTATTCCAATTGCTTCAATACAAAGAATTTACTATTATTATCAAAATTTTTAACCATTAAATTGAATTTTTTAAATGGATTAATTTGGGAAAGTAATATTTTTATTTAAATATTTAATAGAAGATTAAAATTTTCATTCTTATTACAAAAAATATTTTAATTTCTTCTTTTTCTCTGTTTAAAAAAGAATCAATTATTTATATTTAAATATTAATTTTATAATGAAATTTCACCATCTTGTAATAAAACGTAGATTAAATAATAATGTTAAAATATTATTCTGTTTTCTGATTGTTTTTTATTAGTTTTTTATTTCAATTTAATTGCAAAGAAATGAAAAATAAAATCATGCATTATACATAACACAATAATAGATGAGTTGTTTCTTTTAATTTGCTTTTATAAAGACAAATTGCTCTCGCCTGGTTTAATGTGCTGTGCAGCAACCAAGTGCCTTCCTAGCGCCTCTGTTTGATGCAGTAGAGTGGCTTTGGAAAAAGCTTGAATTTGTTTGCTCTGCCCCGCATATAATTTAGGCACGTCGGCAGTCCATTTGTGGCAAAGAGGCTCCTCTTCTTTTTTGTAATCATCAATAACTTTACTTCCAGTCTTAATTTCGTTACTCAGTCCAGATTTATCAAGCAGATCTTTTTTCAGAGATTCTAATTTTTCGGCTAGTTCGTTTCCTTTGGTATAAGATTGAGCCTCGTTAAAATTTTTAAATGCCAAGTGAAATTCATTCCTCTGTAAATCTTCACTAATTTTTTTAATAAGCTTTAAAGTTTTTGCGTTTGACTTTTCAGAATTTTTTAAAACTACTGCTTTCTTTAGTACTGGGTAAATGAAAGGGAAAGAAAAATTAATTTTATCTTTGTCCCCTCCGGACAAAAAGACTTCTTTCATTTCGGCAATAGCCGCTTCTTTGGTATCGGCAAGCACTAGGCGAACACACTCGGCTGGGTTCATTATATGATATTTCTCTCATACTTGCGTTATTATTAAAATCAATGGGCTACTTATCGCTCAATGATGCTCGGATTCACAAATTGAGGCCTCTAAATGTGTGGTAATTAGTCTTATACCGTATTTTTAAGAAAATACGACTTTGTACAAATTGGTACTGCTTTTGACAAGTCTGAACTTGTTTGCGAGCCACAGCTGATGCCAGTGATGCCAACACAGCTGGAAACAATGATACCAAAAATGGTGCGCGCTGCTCTATAACACACTACACGAAGAAATACTTTGTTATTTCTTTTGTAAACTTTAAATGACAATCAGGAAAGTTTTATTTTTGGAATAAAAATTTTATTATCTCATAATATATGATATTATTTGAAAATCATCAAAGTACTTAACCAAGAATTCACTTTATATTGCTATTTTAATTTGAATTGTGTTTTTGATCTTATGCAATCTTGTGAAAGTGGTTTTATTAAAATGCAAAAAATAATATTTTATAACATATTATGTTATTAAAAAGAAATATAAAATTTATTGTAGTTGCAAAAATTATTTATATCAGAGGCGATCGTTGTCTATAAGGAGATACATCAATTATAATTTCATAGTAAAGTAAAGAATGGAAAATTTCAACTATTACATCAGCATAAAAAATTTAAACAATTTTTACTAAAAATCAAATGTAATAATTCATTTACGTTGTGCAATGTTTAGTTTTTTTCAGGCTAAATATAATTCATAAAAATTAGTTAGATTTCATTTCATTAAATAAATCTAGCATTAATAGTATTTCTCAAAATTACATAACTATTTAGGGTTAATATCGTTTACTAAACGTTGTACTGCAACTGACACTGCGGTAGCAAATGTTTCTGAACCGCTTTGCACCATTGAACAATGTGATGACAGAACCGCTACTTCATTGCTGGGTTATTTATATCGCAATTCATTCAGAGGTGGTTGGAAAATATACTGCTCAGAGTAATTTTGTTTGACGGCCCGTCATTAATCTTGTTCATTTTCGCATTATTTTCCCCTCTCATCTTTTAAAAGCCTTTACCTCGCCGTTGTTGACCAATTTCTTCTCTCTGAAGCGCAATTACACCAAGTCAGACCAATTTATTAACAGTTGGACTGAGACGCAATTTCCTTTGCGCCATTACAAAAATAACAATTACAGTGCGAACGGGTAATTTGAAGTGGACACGGCGCCAGAAACGTTCGGCAAGACAGACGTGTGTGGTTGCAAAACCTGTGCTTGCTCGCAAATGCAAAGAAATCACTCAGCTAATACCAAGAGTACGTGTACCACTTAAATTTCTATTTTTCAACGGCCACCACCGAACATAAATCCGATCTGCGCTGACTCACTGCAATTTTGGCAACAGAACTTTGAGTTTTGAACCCCATTGGTTAGGCAACCGGGCTATTTTTCTCAAAATTGCGCAACTCGGTCGCCTTGTTTTGCGAGCGCGAACAAAAAAATCCACTTTGCATCACCTCTTAACTCTGAGCAGATAGAGGTAGGTCTCTAATGTACCTCTTCATTACACAAGGCTTTTGCAAGTGACGGCGCCTTTGCGCGAGAGGGAGCTTTTTGAGTTATGCGTAAGCTTAATGCGAGATTCTTTTCTTTATTGCCAGCGCTGTTGTAAATTTTGAGATTAAAAGCGCAAAGATTATTATAGACCCAGATCTTGCATAGTATTCCTTTTTTACTGACAAATCCTTTAATGCAGGAACAACAAAAATGTAACAAATTTTATCATTCGTTTACCACCTGGTTTATAAATGGAATTAACATAATAATATTTGTTAGTAATTAAAAATTTTCAAGATGAATTAAAAATAAAAAAATGTGCTTCATGTCTTACATTTTGTAAAATGTTCAAATTTGAGCGGCAAAAATTTGTATTGAAATTATAATTATTTATATAATAAAATAAATAAATTAACAATAATATATGTTTTTAGTGATTTTTAAAAGTTTATTTATTTTATTTTTATTAAACCTCTCACTAATTTGAGACTGTGAATAAAATTAATGCATTATTAGATTTAGAAAAATTTCAAAATTTCCTGTTCTCATATTTACTTTTGAATCTTATAGTACATACTACATTTACAAGTCAAAATGTAACTAGATGTATTTCTTGCAACGTATTTAAATTTGAATTTTATGTATATCTCAAATGAATTATTTTCACTAATCACTCTCAAATAATGCCGTATTATTAATTATTATTACCTCTGTTTTTTGTCCAAATGGTTACATCACATTGTTAACATTCAAGTGTTGAAAATAACAGGGTTTCGGAGCGGGCGCGTTTTGGCGCTCCAAATCGCTCCAAAGCGCGTTTTGGAGCGAGGAGCGGTCGTATGAAGGCGCGAGGAGCGCTTTTTATACAAGGAGCGGTTGCCAAAAAAACGCGCCGCGCCTGGCGCCAAAGGAGCGCTCTATGTGGGCACTGCGGCGCGCCAGGCGCCAAGGCGCGACCTAGCTCAGGAGCAAGGCGCGCCTTTCGCAAAGGAGCGCTCTGATGAGGCGCGCCGTGCTCGGCGCCGCTCCTTCCGCGCCGCTCCAGGGTAGCAATTGGATTATATTATTCTCTTTGAATGCGATCTGGCCTATTTTATTTACTCATGTGCTTCCCCCTGTTGTTCTCTTATGTACACAAAAGTGAATAGCCACTGAACTGCCTCTTTTAAATTTATTTCTGAGAAGAAATTGGCACTTAATGAGACGTTCGTAAAAGTAAGAAAAGAACTGGGTTTTGTCATTGATGAATTTATAAAACTTTTTATATTAGAAAATCAATATTTCTAGACACAGCTACCAGCCTGATTTTATTCACTTCTATATATGTCATGTATATTATTAGGCCTTCTGTTTGGATTAATATGAGAATTCGTTAAACCGTCAATATTATTTAATTTTTTTTTTTTTTAATTTGAAGCTTCTAGTGGGTTGAATAATAATTTGATAGTATAGTTGTGTGTCAATTAAAAGGAGATTGAAGATTTTGTGCTGAAATTTAATTTTGATGATTTGAATTTAAAAGCTTTAACTATTATCAAAGAATGATTAAAAGAGGTTGTCAGAATAATTTGTTGATCCATTTAATTGATTACAAATAATTGTTATAATTTAATTCCCAATTTTAATAATTTTATGTAAATAAAACGCAATTTGATGCATTATTATGAAACGCATCTCTAAAAGCACGCCGCATTTTGGAGCGGCGCAAGTAAAACACGCTCCGCGCCTTGGAGCGGCGCCAGTATAAAGCGCTCCGCTCCGCGCCTTGGAGCGAAGGAGCGTTCCTTCCGAAAAGGCGCCGCGCCTTGGCGCCGAGGCGCGCTTTGATCATGGAGCGCTCCGCTCCTTGGCGCGATGGAGCGGTCCTAAGAAAAGGCGCGGCGCGTTCGGCGCCAAGGAGCGTTTCAAAAAACACCGCTCCGAAACCCTGGAAAATAATCTATTTGAAAAAAAGAATTGTTGGAAAAAACGGCACCACAACTAGCAAGACTTCCGACATGAAAAAGACCCCTATCCACTGCAGTCTGTGTAGATAATTATAACTGTAAAATTTTATCAAAAATTTCTTGAAACTATTATTTTTTCCGCACTATCAAATTTAAAGAAAAGAAATTTTGAATCGGCTTTGTAAATTTAAACTTAATTTATTTTCATTAAAGCGTGACTTCAACCTGAAGGCAAAATTATTCCATCTATGCAATATAATAACAAAATTATTCCTTTTTGAACATGTTATTTACACAGGAGCAAAATTTAAAAATCTTTATTTGTCTCAAGTTGTGAACAGACACACCTCATAAAGCTCGTTTACATTTTGAAAGTGGACATTAGGGAAGGTGCTGAGCCGCACGGTGAGAGGCGAACAAACACCTTTGCTATTTCGAGCCGGCAAATGGCAATATTCGCCGAAAAGAGGCGCCTATTATTAGAAAAGTCAGACCTGACCAACTGACTGAGTGGCTGACTAACGCTTTATGAAGTGTTCGGACCTCTCTCTATAATAACTTTGCCGGTCCATTGTGAGAAAGGTGCTAATTGCACGCCGTTATTCTCAATTTGCAGCGCCCGGTCCACCGAAAATGCGAAACGCGCAATTTGCTGCCCTCTCCACCACACCCAATCTCAACCGCCTGACCACGAGATTTGCCAAAAACTTTGTTATTGCCACGCAAAAACACCTCCGCAGATAAAAATATACCAAAGGCACCTAACAGATTTGAATTGTGTCGCTGCTGCTGAATCACGTCAGATTTTTTTCGCGTAATTTGCTTGGACCAAATTAGACTGCCGAGAGACGGTTTTATTTTGAAGGCTGACACCCACACTTTGTGGCGATGGGAATTTAATTACAATTAAGGCATTTTAATGAATTAATTAAAGAATGAAAAAATAAATGAGATTCTATTTGCCTAACAGAATGTTTACACAATTCAATTATTGTTATGATAAAAATATTCTCATGAAAATGATTGCTTATATTTGTGTCTAATGCGGTCCAATGTCTTTTCTTTTTCAAACTTTTATTGGAAAATAATTTTGTCGTAACTAGATTAAATTTTGAATATTATTAAAAATAATTAATAGAATTAATAAAATAATACATTTGATCATTCTGTCTTATTTATAATTATAAATTAAATTATTTAAATTGTAATATTTAAACTACGTCACTAGCTTCAGTGATTTCCTTTTGATGATTTATTTGTTTGGGGTTCAAATTTAAATACGTTTTGATTAATCAATTTTTTACTCCAATTGTTGTATGTTGTATTATGAAACACAAGTATACCAGTTTAGGGAAGTTGTATGGCTAATCAACAGCCTTCTTCAGTGTGACCATTCCGCGTGAAACGCGTCGTTGATCTTAATTAAGGCATCACATTCGTTGACCCCGTGTTTCCCTTAATCGCCGACGGTCCGATTATAGAGTGCCTACGTGACAGAGAGAAGCGCTTCAGCCAATTCAAAATTTTTGCACGCAGAAAAATAATAATTTTTTGATTTGTGCCCTTTACTTTTCTAAAATAACTTTGCCCCAATTCCTTTGCATAGCAAGACAAAGATCTATGACCGAGTCTCGAATGGTTCAACGATTTCGCGTCCTCGCGGGTCAAGGATCCTGATTTACTCGCGATTCCTCTCGCAGCTGCGTGAATTCTCGAATCCCTCGCACATTTCTCACCATTGATACAACTGGGTCAGATTGTCGCGCTGAACGAGATAGAATCGCGAATATAAATTTCCTCTAGAGATTAGACCTTCATTCGTCCGTGTCTCGCAGGAGACAACACTTAGTTTATGGTTTTGGCTAATGAAGCAGAAAGCGTAAAAAAGTAAAATTACTTTTTGAAGAGAACACGGCAGCGAGAGTGAGTTGAAGTGTCGCACAGTTTTAATGACTGAGTCACAAGGAAAACGCGGAAAATGAATGAATATTCTTTAGATTAAGTGTTTCATTTTGTTGTAGATATAAATCTTAAAATTCAACGAAGTGCTCAATTTTATTTCAGAAATTTGCCACTTTTTACAAACTTCAAAGTTCCTAAAGTTAAACATATTTAATTCAAAAGTAGAAGAGTTGACGAAGTTCTGTAAATTGTGAAATTTTCTCTCAAAACCACGTCTGCAGGGAAATTCATCTTTCAGCGCAAGTGCAGTGAACGCCGCGTTTTCTTTCACTCGGGCTGCTTTGGTGTCCAGCCAAGATGCTGGTTGGCACAAAATTAAAATTCTAAATTCCTAAGGGACATGTGGTAATCAAAACACAGCGTGTCACGCCGTGTGTCCACCAGATTATTTTTACATGCAACATAAAAATTGCTCGAATGAAAGAGTCCTGTCCCATATTTTAATTGTCACTTGCGCCGCCGGCCCTGCTAAAATTTATGGCCGTCGTAAATCAAACCATATTTTGCGTTTCCGCCGAGCAAATTAACATTGGCCGAGCCAAGAAGGGCTCAATTCTGCTGAGGGTTGGAAGCGAATCGATCAATCTTGAGGCACAAAAGATTCGACAATGCGCGGACAAAGGGTGTTTTGCTCGCTTTAGTGGACTCATTTTGCACGTGACCCCCTTTGTGCTGGCAGTTAATTGTCAGCAGGACAACGAACTCTTCGCAAGAGCTGAAAGATTATAGACAGATTAAATTTAATTCTATTAAAAAATGTTTAAATTAAAGATTTATCTGATCCAAAATAAAAACTTCCATTTTTATGTATTTTAACTTAATGAATTTTAATTTAGAATTTCATTTTGGATCAATTGTAAAATAAATTAAACAGTCTGGCTCCTAACATAAAATTCGTAGGTTAAATATTTCTTTGACTTTTTGTTACAATATCATTGGAAAAGTTACATTTTTCTTTTTGTTTCATTGCTCTTTATTAAATATTAAACTTTTTTTTTTTAAAATTTGCACCAATGTATTCGAATGAAAATTTTTGCTCGTTTTATAGTTATGTAAACAGGACTATTTTATAACTCAAAATTCCGCCGCCAATGCTGTAAGAAAATCTATTTAAAGTGCAGCCTTGTGAGCCTGTGCTGCTCTGTGTGCATCAAGTTGCACAACAAAGGCTCTTGGGTGCTGCTTGCTCTTTCACAGACCGCCTCCTTTGTTGTGACTCAAGCAGCATTTTTGGCAACTTTCGCGTTCCAATGTTAGGGGCGGCGCCGCCCTAAAATAGACGGACAGGAATTCACTCCCTCTGATTCACACGCTCCCAGACTCTGATGAGAGGCACGAGAGTTTGCTGCTATTTTTGCGCAGACATTGCTTTTAAACTTCCAATTTCCTTTTCTCCAAATAGTAGCTTCTAAATATGTTCCTCCTTTTTGAATTTGAATTGAAAGGGGTGGTAAGCAAATGAAATTTGAACGATTATCGACAAGTAATTTTTATTCTATTAATGACAAGCATTTTATTTTTGCATTCGTTTTGTCTAAACACTCCATTTTCGATTAAGACTGTGTAACAGACAACTGAACTTCGTGATAATTGAAAAGTTACATTTTTTATGAAAGCAACAAATTCCTTTTTTACAAATATTAAATTATGGTAACAGACCGCAACTTGACTAAAGATGAAATATACACTCGATTACACTTACTTATTTTTACATTTTATTGACGACTTTCTGTGCTAAAATGTAGCTCTTGATTACGATAGTTGTGTAAATTTTGCACGGACAGAGAATCCCTCTTGATGTTAATACATTTTAAACGATCGTTATAACTTTTTTGTAATTATAAGGCACTCGATTTGATTAGAAATACAGAAAATCGCACAGAAGTGGAAGCACACTTTTTTTAAAAGACTTAGAACAACCATAGTCGGGTCAAACGTGCAGAGGCACCACAGCCTGGATGCGCAAATCCTGCACCGAATTTTGGCAGCAGGCCTCAGTCAGTAAATCTGCACATTTGAGTCCTTTTCTTTTTGTAGTGAGTAGTTATCTACTTTTAAAAGTAAAATTTTAATCCTAAGTTGATAATAAAATTAAGTAAACGTGGACGATGTGATTTTTCTTCAAATACTTTAACAATAATGCAAGGCTTTTCTCCTCTTGGATGCGTGTGCAAATTAGCGCGCGTGGGCCTTGCAGAAAGGACGTCCCTGCTTAGCAAAGAAACTCTGGCCCTCTAGGTTCTTCTTGCAAGACTGAAAAGGTTTAATATCAAGAATTAATAATTCGTGTAAAAATTAATGAATCATATTTTCCTAACTTACTGTGCAATTGAAGCATTGGCTGTGGTAATTGTTGTTCAGGGCCTCGACCCAACGGTCTCCGGCCTCAATCGGGAAACCACAGGCGAAACATTTTGTAGTGAACAGCTCATTCCAGTCTGGAAAAAAATGCAACGAGAGTCTCAAATTTTCTATCCCTGTATTTATTTATACTAACCTCCCTCACAGTAAGGAAGACCGTCCTCCAAGAAGAATGGGCTGTTACCAAAAAGTTTGCCGCAGTATGCGCAGTTAAAGCATTCAGGATGGAAGTGCTTGCCAATCGCGTTCAAGCAATCCTGTTTGAAATAGAAATTTAGCGGTTTATAAGTGAATCAGCCTTGGTTTTATTACCCCCTTGATCTTCTTGCGACACTTATCACACGCCGGAGCAAGGAACTGTTCAAAGCAGAACTCGCAATAAAGGTCACCCTTCTCCTCAACGAAACCGCAGTCCTGAAGTGGGCGCTGACACTGAGCGTTGACGCAGATGAAGTGGTCAGGGCACCAAGTTTTTCCCATGGCGGTGATGAAAGGACCTCTGAATATTTGAATTTAAAAAGATTAGTTTTCTTGGATTTCCGATTTAAATCAGTTAGCTGGTTAGAAACGTGAATGGATTAGATGAAAATTGCGCAGGCTGATAGATGCTTGTATGGGTGATATAATTTTAGAATTAGTACCTTGTTATTTCTTTGGAGCACGTTATACAAACAGGGTATTCCTTCTTCGAAACGTCGTCTCTCAGTTTTGTGATTTGGGGCTCGGCATTACTTGTAAGAGTAACACCGTTTCCCAGGTTTTGCACTTTATTGGCCAGATTGGCCTCAGGCTCTTTGGTTTCTGGCGGACAAATCATGCAAACAAACGAATAAAATGCATTACTGAGTCAACGGCATGCTGGAATAAATTGATTGGTTGGACTCATAAATAAATAAACTGCTTCATGCGCTGGCAAATGATACAACACGAGATAGTATAAAATGATGACTAAAATAAATGCATCTCAAATTAATTTTGATCATGCAGCACTCCATGCCGCCGACCTGATTTGACCGGAGCAGTGACCGCAGAGAGGAACGCGGCCTCCAGCAGCGACTGGTGCACTCAGGACGCCCCTTCCTCGGCGCGGAGCTGTCGTTCCAGCGAGACTGCCACCCTTGGCGTTGCCGGCGTTGTTAGCAGGGGGTGCGCCGCCAAATCCTGATGGGTCAGGTTCAGAAACTGGAGGTTGGGCAGCCGCAGCAGCCACCGCGGAGGACAGGGTTTTGCTCAGGTTCAACAGCGGTGCCGGCGGAGGGAAGGTTTGCTTGGCGGGAATTGAGGTGAGCTGAGGCAGAGGGGAGGTCGGCCTTGGCATATTCACAGGAGCCGGGGGTGGGAAGGTTTGTTTTACGGGAATCGTAGCCAAAGGTGGCAGGGGGGATATGGGTCTGGCCTGAGGGGCAGCAACAGCTTGCAAACTTGGCAGTTGAGGTTTCGGTGCAACGATTTGGGGTTGAGGAGGAGCGGGCGCGAACGCAGGGGGTGAGAAAACGGGCTGGGGTGGAAGAGGTGGGGGCTGAACTACAGGCTGGGGTGGAGGCGGTGGGGGCTGAGCTACAACCTGAGGTGGAGGAGGAGCTGGTTTAGGCACAGGTGCTGCCACTGGGTGGGGTGGCTGAACAGGTTGGATAGGCTTGATGGGGAACTGCTGAGGTTGGAAGGGTTGCGGTGGAGCGTCGAAAGAGGGTTGGAAGTTGGGCAAAACGGTTTGTTGGCCTCTTACGGAGGCAGTTCCCTTGTTCTGGTTCACGGTCAGAGGGCTGGCCCTCAGGTTGTAGGGCTGGGCGGGAGCAGTGGTCAGCGCAAACACCATGGGAGAAACGGGTCTCTGGTTAAATTCAGGTTGGAGGTAAACTGGAGGGCCTTTCTCAATGGGCACAGGAGTGATCGATTTGGGTGGCTTGACAGGTGCCACTAGCACAGGCTTAACGGGACCAGTAGGTTGCGGAGGAGGTGGTGGGCGCTCCAGAGGGGTAGGCTCGAGAGGGTTAATGTAGATAGGGCAGGCTGTTGGGCCGGTGAGCATAGGATCCAAATCCTCGGGTTTTTGAGGAGGCCACGAAAACTTTTGGCCTTGTTTTATTAAAGGTTAAAAGACCGCAGAAAGCGATTTTACAATTAGTAGCAGCGAGAAGTTAAGAGGTAGGAGAAAGAGAGAAGCAAATTTTAAATTAGTAAAGCGCTATTGCGACATATAGTTACTGAATATTAAAAATAGTTTGTTGGCTTTGTAAAAAAATCGTGTTTTGGTTTCTTTCTGAAAATATCTGCCAATAGTATTTTTAGGTTTGAAAAATCCTTAAAAAATCTCCTGAAAATTGTAAAAAAACTGAGGTGTTATTGTTATTTTATGATACGATTAATATACACAAACATTTTGCAGACGTGCAAAAACTCAAAATTTAAAGGCTAGAGATGAAGCGTGATGACTTTTGAGAGCTACTCCAGGCAAAGAGAGAATGGACGAGGAGACAGGTTAAAGGATTTGTATTCTGAAACGAAAGAAAAGATAAAGGGACACATATTGAGTGTTCTGTTTCGACCACCAGAATTTTCAGAAACATAAAACTGGAAGCAGCTAACATTTAATTGAGAAATTGACTCAAGAGGAGATTCGCAGTTTAACAAAGCAAATCAAATCTTCGAGTCCTCAGGTTTGCTAGGCTGAACGCAGTAAATATGAGTAGCAGCTCTCAAAAGTGATGTTTGGATGTGTTGTTACTTCTTAATTCGCGTGTGTGTTTTTTGTTTTAAATAATAAAATCTACTTGAAACTGGGTGCAGCTTTTTAAATTCAGGCCAATTGAGTTTCTTAATTAATTTAAAAACCATCCGTAGAATAACGTGACTTTTTTACAGTGACTTGACTTTTGCTTTCAACTGAGGGGGTTGAACATGCTGAATGGGTCTTGAAGAAAATTCTTGGTGCAAGTAGGGTTGAGGGATTGTGTCAAAAGTGGGACCAAATTCTGGCAAAATAACTTTTTGTTTCAAATTAGTTGTGCCTTTATTTTTAGCGGGATCAGGTATATTCGACATGTGATAGGGTTGGTCAGGAGCAGTGGTCAATGCATAAGTCATGGGGGTGAATGAGCGTGGAGCCGAAAAGATTGGCTGAAGATAAACAGGTGGGCCTTGGTCGACGGGCTGAAAACCAGGGCCCTGCGGAGCTTTTACGGGACCAAATTTGGGGGTAGGTTTTTCAGAGACGTCTCCTGAGCTTTGGGATTTTTTCAATAGCGAAGGAGGTCTAGGGAGCGTTTTCATGGATTCCAAGTATATTGGGGTAGCGGTAGGTCCGGAAAGAAGGGGGTCTTGGTCTTCATCGGGATTTTTAGGAGGCCACACGAAATTGTAAGCTAGATCGAAGAGAATTTTAGAGTTTTAGCAGTAGATCGCTTGAACAGCAAGAAAAACCGCACTCAACGACCCACAGAAACGAAAACTCGAAACTCAGTGCGGTGGGGGAAAACACCGTGTTCATTTAAGGTTCAAATGTAATTGGCCTGAATTTTTACTTGAAGCTTCAAAAAGTGCAAAAATCTTTCAAAAATAGTGTAGAATTCTCTGTGTGTTACCTGTCGCTTTGGAGTGTACAGCACGATTGAAAGTTGAATAATATGGTCGGTAACCACCTGACAAAGAAAATGAAATGCGTGCAACATGTATATACGAGAGAATGTACCGCACATCGAGGAAATGAAAAACAGTCATGGGGAATAATGCGAGATGCATAATAAGTGTCGAGTGACAAAAAGTTTGGTTGCGCGAGAATGCAGTTAATTTCTCAGGGGTTTGAAACATTTTTATATGCCTCTTGCAATCCATGCTTGATAAAAAAAACTCACCTCCGATAGGCTTGTTCATGTGGGCACTGCTAACGGTCGGGGGCGGTGGCGAGAAGAATGGCTTGGGCGCAGGAGCTTGTTGAACCGGCGCCGATGAAGGCGGAGTTGGCCCCTGTAAATTTTGTTTGTGCTGTGTTAATTATTCATGCTCCAACAATTTATGGAATTTTAAACTTTTTGTTAAAGTATGCACTGCGTACTTGAAAATGTATAAGCATATTAAGTTGTAAATTGATGTAGCTTTCATGCTTAAAGGTTTGCTGTATAGTGTTCACGGATGATGATTTATGTTTGTTTAACGCATCATTAAAAAGTGTTCAATTATTTAAATATTTTATTTTAAAAGAAGCTGAATTTGTTTATCGAGTTTAATTTTTATTATTAGAAAACTTCATCACTTTTTATTTATCTTGGGTTAGCAATATGACTTCCTTTCTTATATAAAATAAAAATTACGGACTTTATTTAAATTCCAATGGTATTTCATTAATTTTTTTTGCGTAATTAATATAAGTTTATACTGAAATAATAAGAATGAAGATATCTACTTTGTGCTTTTAACTAAAAACAATCTTAAGAAGCAGTCAGTAGTTTCCAAAATTACAGCTGTCGAAAATTAATCTCACCATTAATTAAGCTCAATTTTGAGATGAATTAACCTATCTACAGAAAGTGTAAGCTGGAAATAGTAATAGAATAAGCAGAAGAAAGAAAACTAAATCTCAGTTTAATTATCAATGAACGCGCATTATTTCCACTCGAGTACTCAGGTTGTACCTGAACGTAGGTGCGAGGTGCGCTCACGTGAGATGTGCCTTTACGTGGTGTCTGCAAGAATTATTTGTGCAATGATCTTGGTGAGTCCATGATTTTCGTGAAGGAAAAAGATTTTCTAAAAATAAAACAAACTTACATGGAAGGGCAGTGGAGCGTTGACTGCAGAATTGGGCTGATTGAGAGGTGCTGGAGGGTTGGCCAGAGGCACCGGTGACTGCAAGTTGGCAGCAGCGGCCACGTGGGCAGGAATGGCTCCTGCAGGTGGGAACTGGCCACTGAAATGAAAAAAATAGTTATTTTTCAGCACCAAAAATTATTATTTATTTATATTCAAATTTTTTTGTAGTACAAAAAGAAAATATCTTTTGAGCTATTTTTCAATTTTTTTGTCAATCCGAAATTTCAAATTTGACAAGATGATAAAGAAAGTTATTTAAATTTAATTTAGGATCATTTTTCGTTGAAAATAAAAAGCGCCTGCAGAGTTTGAAATAGGCAACCTGCTTGACATAGAAGTCTTGCGGCTTGCCTACCTTTGCCTAAATGAATTTTTCCCACTTACGGTTGAACGGCGACAGGCTCCAAATTCGGGCCAGGTGGATTTTTCCTGGCGGCCATTTTCGCGTGAACATCGCAGTACAACTTTGTACCAATGTTGAAGTAGCCTGATGGAGAGAATTATAATTTAAAAATCACCTCCACTTCTGTTGAAATCGTCAAAATTGAAAAGAAAAAATCATAACTCAAAACGGTTCACAGGGAAAATATTTATAGGGCTGCACTCACCGATATTCTTGAGCGACGCGCCGCAGGTGTTGCACTTGAAACAATCAACGTGCAGGTTCCTCTCCTTGATTCTGACAAACACACCTCTAAAAGGAATAAGAAAGGAGCCAATTCTCAATCGCGTGTCTCTCGTCAACTACTAAAGAGCACTTACACAATCAATCGTTCGCACTCAGAGCAAATGTTCTGTCCGGGAGGCAGCTGTGTCTTATTGTTGGATGGGGTGTTGTTGGCCTGTGGGGCGGGTCGTGTCTCGGGGGCCGTTACTTTTCGGAGACTTGAATTGGGGGCGAACGCGGGATCTGAATTAACAAACGAAAAAAAATCCAAGCCCCAAGTTAGATCACTGATTGATAAATCCCATAAGAAATTTTTGAAGTGAGTATGCAAGCTAATTTTATATCAAGATGATTAATTTTGCTCGACAAGCCTGTTTAAAATAAAATGAAATCTAGATAAGCAAGGTTAAGCTGTGATTGTGTTAATTGTTCGTTGGTTGAGTTTAATGAAAATATTAATACGGAATTTAGCAAAAAATGTTTTTCATCTTCAATATGTTTAAAATTATGTTTTTCATGTTTTGTATGGTTTATTTACAACATGCATTAATGTGGCTAATCTACTTAAAAATTGTCATGCAATCTCTAAAAATGATTTCAAACCGCGATGATTCTCTGACCTTCACCTCAGGTTCCCTTTGACTGAACTTGCACTTGCATATATTGTCTTTTTGTTCTAGCCCTATTTTATTTTCAAAAATGGTGACTGGCGAGGAATATTGGGAGTATCTTGAGAATAAACCCAAATACCAAATTTAGACAGAATTTTTTTTGAAATTGTTCCTCCGACATCACATACATAAAATGATTTGAAATGAATATTTCTACTTTGTGTAAAACTTTTTTAAGAAAAACTATTTACCAATTTTAAACTTTTTTGCTTATTTTAATTATTCAAATATAATTTAAACATTTGAATATCTTGATTTTTTTATTAAAAAATTTTCTGTTATTTAACATTTTTATCTTAATCTGCATTAAATAATTTTTTAATTAAGACTGTCCAAATCTAATGAATTCTCTAGTCTAAAGATTACTGTCTTTCCTGTCTTCCTTTTAACTTAAATAGAGATGACTTCAAAATCAACATCCTAACATTCAAGAATAATTGAAATCTTGATAAAGAAAGTGATGCTGCATTTGATGATGTGCTTGAAAGACCCCCAAGACATAAATCTCCACCGCTGAATGTGATACGTACCTTTTGGATGGCACTCTTCGTCAAGTGCGGCCTGCAGCCTTTTAAAAGTGCCTGACTGAAAGGCACCATTCCTGATATTCCTCAGGTTTTCCTTGTACTCAAACTCGGCCAATTTACCTTCTGGGTCGGCAGCGTCTCTGGGTTCTTGGTCCACTTCCTGCACCATTCGCAGCACCTCGCTGTTGTTCGGCTCGTATTTGCGCTCGTTTTTCTTGAAGTTCACTCTGCAATTTTTATTTTTTTGCTCGTCTCATTTTTCAAGTAAAAATAAATTACCCAAGGACTCCGCTGGCCAGCACCTCAGCTTGTGCCGACAGGGTCTCAGCGATGTTCTCTTCGCTGTACAGACCAACAGGTGTGTTGTATTGCTTGCTGGTGATCGACTTGACAGTGTCCACTTGACTGGTGCTGGTGATGCTGCTGCTGGTGATGCTGTTACCATTCAGCTGTAACATCCCAGTTGAAATTCAAATTAATTTATGTCTGCCACGCACTACAGGGAAAGTTAAAGCAGTTGGCACGGCAACTTTGTCGACACTAATTGGCGCTAATCTCTTTTTGTTTAAAATATATTTTTTACTGGCCGCGTTCAAAGAAAGGGTTGCTCAGTAAAAAGAAGAAGAATTTTATCTTACTTGAGGGGCTCCGAAAGGCTTTGCAAGATTGTTGTGTCCACTTCCAATGGGGGCAGCCTCCTAGAAATTTTATTTAATTTTTCACCGGAAAAAAAGGAAAATGCAAACTTACGGGTTTGTTGACTGCAAGGGAAGTTTTTGTGACTGGCGCTACATTGTTGTTGAGGGGGGCTGGCTTTGGGAGGGCACCCACAGGTGTGATTTGTGGTTTCCATGTTGAAGCACCTCCTCTGCAAAAAATAATGTGGACATTAAAATATAATTTTGACGGCACTATATTGATTTAAATCAACAAGACTTTTTCTTCGGCTCAAGATAAAACTATATAAGAACTAAACAGTTTTGATACTTTTGAAATTAGGTTTTTTTTATGTAAAAAAATTCCAGAAATCATAAGAAATTATGTTCTTTAATCAACAGAATGAGAAAAAAGTACTATCTAATAAATTTCTAGGGTATACTTTTATTATGAAATAAAAAAAGACAATTTTATCAAGCTTAACGTGATTGCATTTTTGCCACATAATTAATTTAATTATACCACTTTAATGACAAATATCAGCAACCATTAAAATAGTTTTAAAAATGTCATTTTTCAATCAAAGAAAGCTGTTTTTTTTTTCTTGTGACGAAAATATTATTTCAATTTTGGCTGTTAGGATCATTTTTCAGTTAGTATTAGAGCGGGTGGAGCTTTTTTAGTCTCTGTTATTTATGGCCGCCCATTATAATTTTGCAAAATTACTGGCGTTCTGCAAGCTGTCCATTTACACCGCAAACAAACACAGGGTTATTTTTGAATGGAGAAGGTATGTTAGTGGAAGAAAATGATCGGGGGCGTCGATTTTCGGGCCCAGCGCGGTACAACAGAAATAGGTGAGAGCTGCGGTGAGAAAACAAACAATAGAAGCGGCAGAGGCCAAATGATTTAATCAAACGGCGGCGCTGCTTTGAACAACAATCCGAAAAATGCACCCGGGGTATTTTTACCCTCCAGTTCAAAATCGGAGGCAGGTCGATGTATTTTTGTTCGGAATGCAGGGTGTTGGGGCCGAAGGGTGCTTTCTCGGCGTTTTGTGCGGGATCGGAGCGAGCGTGAAAAAGAGACATCGCGCAAAATAAAAAGAAAGAGGAGCAAATTGTTTTTGCTCTCGAGTCTTTGGATCGCGCGGCGATTACGTGGTGGCTATTTTCAAAGTACGGCCACAATGTTGAGACGTTTGAGAGTCGAGCGAGAAGAAGCAGAAGCAAAAGTTTTTGCTTTTGAAATCGAGTTTGCGCCGTTCGCCTCAACACTCGAAGTGCTACTTTGAATGTCAAATTAAATCGGGAACGACTGGCAGGTGGAGGAAGTAACTCTTCAATTTTTACGCTTGCCAAATTTCAGATGATCGAAGATATTAAAAAAAAAATATTATTATTATTATTAACAACAAGAAGAAAAGATATTTTTAATTTGTTTATAAACACAATCTTATATTGAAAATTTTACTTCTTCTTATTCAAGGCAGGCGTCATATTTTTTTTCTTAGAGCAGAGTCAAATTTCAACGCGTCCGAGAATTTTTCTCGCTCAAATCGGATTAGCCGGCGAATTCGGTGGGCGGATTAGATAAAATTATAGCGCCTGTGGGTGCTCGCGAGGCGTCTGTGATAATATTTCTGCCCATCAGTCTAGAGCGGATTTGCTCGGGCCGAGAGGCAGTCGACTGTACATTTCGCCGGGCCGTGTGCAGAAAGAGTGGACCGCAGCCAAGGCTCTGCAAATAGCCGCGAGACCCACCTTTTCCCGCAAGCCACCGCGTACCCCCGATTGAACCAACAACCACGCACCCAGCCCTCATTACCGCCGTCAAGTGCGAGTCCGAACAAACGCTGAAAAAACCTTCACGCACTTTCCAAAATGAACTTTAGCAACAAAAAATAAAAAATTTATATTTAAAACATAATATTATTTTTGATAAAAAAAAAATTAATAAATATTCATGATTTTTATTGAAATTTATCATTATTTATTTTTGATTTGTTCATTTAATGGTTTAATATATTTTTAAAAACTGCCTTGATCTAATGTTAAATTTTTCCGTTTTGAAAATTTTGAATTTAATCTTTAAAATTATAAATACTGCAGATTACATTATTATTATAATAGTATGTCAGCATGAGCTTAACTGTTTTTGTTTTTATCTCCTCTCTGTATGGATCATTTTTGATAAATTGAATTTTTTTAATTAATTATCTAAGTACATAAAGTCAAGGCTGTTCTACGATTTGGCGCAGGAAAATCTCTAAGTCACTGAAGGAAATTTAGCTCACAGAGAATGAAAGTTGCCTTAAATTTATAGGAAATCAGCATTACAAAATATCTGAAACTGATCTTTAATTCTATGACACTCCTGCAATGAATAAACTGAACTTTGATAATGAACATTTATTACCAGAAATGCAGTTCATGGATACCATTTTCAAAATTAACTATTATCACGATAAAAAAATGTAAAATAGTGATGGCAAATGCGAAGTGCAGGCGAAGTGGAATGAAAATTAAATTGCACCGTCTTAGTGAATGTTCAGAAATAATTTTAGCTTGTCTTGGCTTGCACATGTAAATTGTAAAAAATAAATTATTGATTGCATGTTTGCAATCTTGAAGCGACTTGTCTTTAATAAATGTCTTTATTAATTATATCAATCTCCAAGGTTTCAACTAACGATTATTGCTTGTTTTTCGATTTTACTTCACAACGCGAATCAAAGTCTGGATAATTATATTTTTTAATTTACTATTTCCAAAATTCTTTACCTATGAATAGATATTTCGAAACTGTTGCCAGCTTTGACAATGACATCTTGCGCCTCTTTGTGTCTCAGGTTGAAGACGTCGGTGTTGTTCACCTTGATGATGGCGTCTCCAGCCTGCAGTCCCGCAGTCTCAGCAGGGCTGCCCCCATTGACCTGCAACATCCCACAGGAGCAGAGTGAGTACCCGTTTTATTATCAATTTGGCATAGACAAACATATTGTCTGAAGTAAAAAGAATTCGTTTTCGGTTCATGGTCTGGGAATTCAAATTCCACGAGAATTGTGCCTCTCACGCTACTCGACTTCATTTCAAACTCGAATGAGGCGACGGAATATATAAAAGCGAAAGTTCAAAGTTGCGCCGGAAAGTGGGTCGTTTTTGATAATGCGAGTTAGTCAACTTTCCGTGCCGTATCTGAATTTTGATTGTGCGCAACAATGACCTTGTGCATGTGGGTGGGAAACAAATTAAAATTTAATTGCCTCCACGTCACTTTATCTACAGAAATTAAGCACAATAGAGCAAAAAAATTTTAATTAAATCTTCAAGAAATTTAAGTTCAATTTTTTTAAACTTCATAAAAACCGATTTTCCTGTTAATTTCCAGTTTATGTTATCTCGGCTTTTTTCTGTTGGTGCTTCAAAGGTGTATCGTTTAAATCAACGTGACATGCTCGTTACTTCACAGACCACCTAACTCTTCCGCGACTTTTGACCCGTTGAACAAGTGACTCACAAATGAAAGCTAATTTACGCAAAAAGCTTTCCGCTGTTTTATTTTCTGTCCTCCGACGAGGAAGGAGAAAAGAGGCCATCTCAAGAAACGAGCAAAAAATTACCGCATCGCGTTGTAATGCACTTTAATTGCGGTTCAAGTTTGTCGCCTGATGCAACTCGGAGAGACCAAAGCGGATGCTCTCGAATAATTGCCGCTCGCAAACAACTCTCAGTTAATTAAGTCAAATGGGGCGCTTTGGCGCAATTTCTCGGTTTGGCTTATCCTCTGTTTGGAAACCGGTGTGTTTGTCAGAGGTGCGGTGCCAGACTTTTTTCTGCGTAATCGATTTCCCTTATCGGACAGCGTCTCTCATAAAATCATCAGTGCCCTTAAAATAATCTCTTACTTCGCTGATCATAGAGAAAAGGATTGCGTTTTTAATTTGGCCTTTTTATAAAAAAAAAAATATAATTTATGTAGAACCAAATTTTATTTTTGCATCGTTTAATTTTTGTACTTCTCTATATATTTTTTAAATTCTCAATATCTTCTTATCTTTCAAAAAAAGGTTTGCTGTGAATTTAACAAACTTATTTAATTCAGTCTCATTGTATTCGATCAAAATAAAATAAGGCATAGTATTTTGTTTCAATATAAATTTAGAATGGGCAAACTTCATAAGTCATAATATGTTCAAATTATTACAAAGTAGATCAAACTGGATGATAAATTCTTTTAATTAATAAATTCATGAATTTATGTAGCTAAGTTTGTTTCAGTGTTTTTGATCAATTTTTTTCACTTCATCAAACGTAGCTATTATTGGAAGTAACTACTTACTTGAAAATCCGGTTATTGTAGAGAACGAGATGCAATAAATATTAGATATACTTATTTATTTAATAATATAATCAATAATTCAAGGAATTTTCAAAAGCAACTAAAAATCAGTTGAATCCTTCAATTTGTTGCGGTTTCAAGAAAAGTCATTATTTATCATTTGAACTCCACCACATTGTCCTTGGGTGGGTCAACAAGCTGCATTGGCAATAAAGTGATTCAAAATAACCAGTCGGATGCTCATGCGTAATTCACGAGAGAGAAACCATTTGTCATTCAATATATTGAACCGTGCACAGTCAATTAGCGCAGGGAAAATAAAAGCCGTCGGCGCACATCCTGCTGCAATATCGACAGAGATAAGCTGCCTCCGCGTTACATATATTTTTTTGCGACGCAAACACAAGACTCGCTCTTGTCCATTCATCGTGTGCGACAAATCCCCTTATGAAAAAATCACGCAGTCAGCAGCAGCACCTTGGGCGTCTTTTGCAGTCCAAGTGATGTCATCGCAGTGTCGACATCGCTCAAAATGCTCCCCATTGGTGTCTCTCGAAATAGAAATTCTCTGTCGAGTGCAAGAAGAGTTGTCGGTACTCCACCGCAAGCGCCTATGTGTCTGTTTCTCTTATAAAACTAATTTTATGAACCATTAAAAATGCTTCTTGAGTGCCGCCGAAACACGCAGGTTTTACGATCTGGAACATATTGTATAGGAAGCTATGGGGATTTGTGTATGGAGAGTTGCGCCGAAAGTGAATTTTAATTGCCATAACATTGTCTTTTTCAATAACAATCAGTTCATTTTCTAAACAAAAGAATGCAACTACTTTTCAAGTTGATAAAATTGGTACTCACTGTATATATTTATATCATGTTTCTTTACTTTATTTTTTTTTCTAAATTTTAAGGCAGCATTTTTCTAAAAGGTTCTCTTTTATGTTTAATTTAATTTATAAATATTCCCTGTACGTACAATTATACATTAATATTAAAATATACACATGAAATAAATTATTTAATGCTTTTGCGAAGTGGAAGTTGATATTGGGGTATTAAATTTATTCAGGTTACACAAATTTTAGTTAACATTTTACATTTTACCAAATTTTAAAAAATATAGTTTTTCAAAATTTATCAATTGAGTTGATTGAATAATAAAATTGAACTCATAATCATAACAGAGCTAATTAATTTTTTTTTCATTTTATTATATAAAATGAGTTTTTTTTTCCTTTTCTGTTAATCTCTGCAGTCCGTGATGTGTTTTGCATCAACGACGCTGCTGGTTGGTTACGTAGCGAGTCGTCGGCGTTGGACTTCTCAAGTTTCAGCGTTATGCAGTGGCACACATATTACACGGGGGCGCAAAAAATCTAACTCTAGAGAGTGAATATGTACAGCCAGCATTCGGTGTGTGCCGCCGGCAGTGACGCATTTTCGTTCTCGGCCGTACATTTCGGACCACGTGGTGTCTATTTCAAGAATATATATTAAACATCTACTTAAATGACGTGCTCCAAATCCCGATCTCGCGCCTCGGCGAACTCATTCACATTTATTTAAATTCATTTCGTGAGCTGTAATTTCGTTCCGAGAAGTTGCTTACAAAAAATTCCCTACTGGTGCTATATTCTTATTTCCTGCCGCGGATGTGTTGAGGTCAGCTGCGGTGGCCGCCTTGCGGCTTCGGGGCTTTTGACGCAGGATGCTAATTACAGGCAATTCCCACTGCCATAATTTATTGTTTTCAACTAGTTAATTTGCGTTTTAATTGTCCTCGGAGAAATGAAGCGTGAAATATAATAAAAGAAAGTAAAATGCTGGGAAAGAGTGTAATTAAGAAATTTTCCGCTGAATTCTTCTATTTGGCCACAAATATTCTGTTTTTATGCCACTCAAATTCTAAGATAATAAAAAAACATTGTGTAAATAAGTGAAATAATGACATGTGTAGAAATATTTATTTAAAATGAATTCACTTAGCAAGTTTCAAAATATAAAATTGAACGTTTTTGTTATTGAAAGTATAACCGAAAGAAGGTATCAAGTGTTAATTTAAAAAAAGGATAATATAGGATTAAAGTGGCTACACTTGGGAGAAAAAAGTGATTTTTAAGGGCGAAATAGGCACTTATTTAGTTAAATATATTCAATGGAAATATAATATGGACAAATATTAGAAGATTTTAAGTAAAAAAAGGTGAGAAAAGGATAATTTTTTTCTGATATCTAAATTATGTGTTTCTTGCTGTTTATAGGTGAAACTTATTCAGGTTGAAATAATTTTTATTTATATCACCAGGCATTTTTAGGCAATTTTCTGAATTTAGAGGTTTTTTATTTACTCAAATATTTTTGTGATTCTAAAACGTAGATTTTACTTTCAAAAGGCATATTATTTTGTCTTTATTAGTATTTTTTATTTTGTTTGGAACAACTATTTTCGAAATCAAAATTTCCAGGCCTAATATTTTTCAATTCATGTTTTTTTCCTCAAAAGTGCTCAAAAATCAAAACATGATGAAAATTTTAGTCATCCAATTTTTATTTTGGCACGTTATTACCACAAAAAAAATTTGAAAAATTTAATTGAAAACATCTAGTTTTCCAGACGTCACATTAGTAAAAAAAAGCTTGCGCAGTAATTGGGAAATCGGAGCTCAAGACTCTCCAGAGTGAATAAATATTATTCTTCCACTCTCGCACATATATAAGTTTAATCCCATAACATAAAGACAGTCTCATGAATAAATAAAAGTGCTGCTCTCAAAGTGCAACACTTTAAATAAACAAAACAAATTGCCTGGTGCGCGCTGTCTCGTTTTGTCGCGAACGTGCCAATAAAATAAATGCATATCAAACGTGTGAACGGTCTGGCTTGCTCGCTAACCAGTTTCAATTATAATATTATTACACGCGCAGAGACATATAATAAAAATCCTGCGCGCATTCCACGTCGCGAGCCCATAATTTTCTCCGAGCACAATACGTGTAAAATTAAATTATAGGCGCCCACACAACTGAGGATTAACATTCTTGTTAGCATAACGCACGCGATGCACACGCGTGCGAGAGAGTAAAAGAGTCGAAGAGAGACAGTTGTGCTGGGACACTGACCCATTCGAGAGAGGCTGCTGCTCCCCCCGCTGGACGCACGTTCCGATCGCACTTGGATATAAAAATAAATGTATGCGTGTGTAACGCACGCATCGAACAACTTTTCGAGATGGTAATTGCTCGACGAATCTTGTTATTTTCTCGCTAACCAGCAGAGAAAACGCAAAAAGTGGATAACCAGTCAAGCGTAAATATATAAAAACATTCAGCAACCGACTTTCATTAAACTTATGTTTAAAGTTGTATTTTTAAAAATTTATGAATTTTTAAATTTTTGTAAATTACATTCATTTTTTCAGTCTTCAGGTTTTTAAAAATAATCAAGATTTACAAATTGTTCTTCACTTATTTTCATGCCGAAACAATTAGAGCACATTTTCTCACAAGGGTGAAGTGAATGTGACAGGAGGGGAAGAGGAAACTGCCGGATGCACCTATCACTGGTTTGATCTTTCAAATTTGTCTGGCTTTAAA